CACTAGAGAAACACCTCTTGCCTCAGCTCTCCTCCCTCATCGACCACAGCCTGATCACCTCCGACATGGACCAGCTCAAGTTCCACGCGGCCGCCTCATTGCAGCTGCGCTTCAGCCCATCCCAGACTCCTCCCACCACCACCACCACCACCACCACCACAATCATCCCAGTCCACACAGACACCGACACAGCCAAAGCCAAAGCCCAAGGCGAATCTCACCACCTCATCGCCTCCCCCTACAACTCCCCCCTCCACCTCCTCGACCTCCTAACCCTCGACACCCCGAACCGGCTCCTCGCCCAGGCACTGACCATCCTCCGCCCCGTGCGCGCAGACTATGCCACAGCGCCGTACACCGAGTCCTTCAACTGGACCGCCGTGTTCGGGTTCCTGCGCGAGCTCGCCGCACAGGAGGGCCTCGTCTGGCGCCGGCAGGTGTTCTACGTGGTTGTGTTCCGGTCGAAGCTGCTGGAGAGCGCGGACGGGGACCGGCTGCATGAGCTGGATGCGCGGTCGCATCAGGAGGCGGTGGTGAGCGGTGGGTTGCTAAAGTATTGGTTTGGGACGAAGAATGCGCAGAGGGAGAATTTGGCGACTTGTAAGGTTTTTCCTTTTTTTTTTTTCCTTATGTCGGAAAGGCTGACTTAAGTGTGTGTATGTATAGGTGTCTGGCGCAGTCGCGAGGATGCGCACAAGGGAGGTACAGGACCGTGGCATCGGAAGGCTAGAGGGGCTGCGAGGGAGATGTATGAGCGGATTGTGTTTACGACGATGGAGTTGGTGATTGGGGATGATGTGGGAGAGTGGACGATTGGCGATAGGACGGAGTAGATGTTCTGTTGAGGATATCTGGATGACATCTATATTCTATATTCTATATTCTAGTGTAGATTATACCCCAGCATGTACTTACTTACTTCCTTCACCTTGGATATCTAGAATGAATGCACTCTTTTAATTACTAAGGAGTAGCAACTAGCAAAGCACTAAATGCCACTAAGTTAAGTAACTATATAGACCATTCCCCGCTGTGGATCGGATGGATCCCTTCTAGTTCTTCTAGTCTTCTAGTCTTCTAGTCAGCCCTAACTAAAAGAAGTCTTATTCGGATTCTACGCGCTGTGGGGGATGGACCTGGGACCAGGGGAATGATCAAACTGAAGAATGCTGGAAAAAGGTTCCTTTTGAGGGTATGCTTGTGTATGGTTAGTTGCTGATGCTGTCTAGAACGGGGCTGGGATAGCTGGATGTAAGGGACTTTGCGGCCTCGTGAATCCGTTGATTATGAGGTTGATGAGATTAGACATGTGTTATCTACGGGGGTATTGGGTTATTGGGTTACAGGCTACAGCTCCGGCTATTAGGCTTGAAACGTCCCCAGTATGATCGACACTGTTTCTCTAGTCTAATGAACAACGCCAAACACCAAAATATATCAGATCCCGCAACCACACAGGCACGCTATCACAAAGGTATACAGAAACAAACGATCATCAAAACCCCCAAGAACCAACAATCATCAGGCATATCTCCTCAAGAGTGGCATCATGTACACAACGGACATCCAGCAGTTCCAGACCAGGAATGTCCGCTGGTCACTGGCAGCGTCCTTCCACAGAAAAAGTCGGACAGCGACAGCGACAGCGAGCACACAACTCACGGCAGTCATGCCAAAGCCCACCCCGGCGAGTAATGGGCACAGAATCCCCCACACGGGCATGGGAAGCGCAATGCTCCAGCGTGCCGTCTCATCCCCAATGGCAAGCGGGAGCGTCAAGCGCCCCCTCTTTGCATCGCCTTCCTGGTCCCCCATGTCTTGTACTTGCATCGTCGTCAGCACGATCCCCGTGACAACCAGGCACCAAAGTTGGAGTGAACGTTTGTCCTCCAGGGTTGCCAGCTTCGGCCCCAGCGCCACCTCCACCGCCCCCGAGTTGAAGCACAAATATCCTAGCGCGTTGATAATGTTGCGAACCACAAAGTTTCGATCTCCTGCTCCATAACTGTTGTACCAGGTGCCGAGGAATATCAGTCCGATGCTTTGGCGACACCCGCCACTGTAGAAACAGCTATAGGCCAGCGCCACTGCGTAGAAGCCGAGCATCAGACGTTTCGCTTGAGCCGAGGAAAGACGTTTGCTAGGGAGCGCACGCCAGGGCTTGTTGATCGCGTCTTCCGCGATGGAGGAGGGACTGCGCTGATTGTTTATGGTAAGAGGCAAGAGGTTGATCCAGACCCAGCAGATGGTCGTGGGAATCTGCTGGATGATGTATAAGTACTGGGTAGAATTCTCGGTGGAGCCTGCGATCAGAGCAGCGAGGGCGTTTGTGATGCCAAAGATGGCGCTTGGCGCGATGATTGTCTGGAGATCATTGGCAGTGAAAAGCCACACCGTATATAGGCTTGATGCGACGGTGCGTAGGTATAGGCAGAGTCTTTGGTGTACTGGGTTGGCGACCGTCATGGTGACATTCAACGGTAGGTCACGCTGGTACTGTGAAGATGTATACTTGAGAGACAATGATCTTCGGGCTGTCTTGCCCTCTTCTGAAGTATGCTTCCAATGGCACTATCTCGACTTCTGATCCGGTACTTATAACCCATGCTTTCGTATTTGAAGCCAGCTGAACTCGACCAGGCTATCACAAACGGCGCTGTAAAAATAGACCTAACAGTGGTGAGATCGGATACATCCCCCAACATAGTCCGCTGGAATCTCCTGGCTGTTCTGACTTCCAACCGTTCTTGACTCAGATTAGCGGAGCTGACTTCTAAGGACGCCCTGTCATGGGAGGCCTGTCTGCGGGAGCTCGATATTATTAGAGAACACCGACCCATGATGAGTCAAGGATTATACGATGGAGGGCCGTTGGACCCTATATCTCATTCCATAAAGTCATCCGAGGAAATCCAAACTGCGATGAGATAGTTGATGAAGATTCATAGTAATCTTGCTCTCCTACTGCTCCTCGGGTGATCATCCAGATTAGTATGTCCTTACCGAAATGGGAGGCCTCAAAGACCATTCGCGACCATCCTGTTGTTCTCGTACAACCTGCAGGACGAGCTAGGACAGTGGACACTGGTGGAAGATATGGCTTGTCCCAGGTCTACACCAACCCGCTTTGTCGAGTCTTATCTCGAATGGACTCCGCCCTTTGCGGTTACACAGGAGTTACAGACTGTATGACGAGAGACAGTATACCTCAAGGCAGTGCTCACTGCCTCGCTGGAGGTGGGGGGGCCACATCCAAGCATTAGACGCTGAAACTAGACGAGGTTCAGCGCTATTACCAGGGGCCTCACCAATAGACGGGTTGAAAATGGTCTGTACATGCTTTGCTCGTGCATTAGCAGCTGAAAGTCCCCCGCTGATCTGTTGGATTTTTGAGCAAGAGGCAGTACTTAGTAGCAGGACTACCATGAACAATATCTTGCGTAATGTAATAATGGCGGATGTCCTTGGGAAAGCGATAAAAAGCCACTGGTTTAAGCATAACAGATTGGTGGATTTATCAGACATCCTGCGTGCTTGGTTCAGTGTTGCACCCAATGCCCCTCTCGATGGACACAGGATCACCCCTGTGAGTGTAGTATCCAGTGGTCTGAGTCAGACTGCACATCTCCATGAATCCAGGCAGCTCTGTTGGACAGTTTTTGATGCTTGCTGACTGCTCGTTGGTATGTGAGTAGAGTTGTTGGTTGGTAAGAAGGGAGGGGGGGGAGGTAGATACCTGAAAACCTCAGGCAGCGGTCATACAGAAACAAACAAAGAAACTGTCAGGTTGCCGATTGCCATCACTGAAGTCTGGTAGTCTACTTATACCTGCACGGCTTGACCTTCTTCGAGATTTCATCATCCCCATCTCCATCCCCATATCCATCTTCTGCAGCCATTACACTCGTTTTGATCATTGTATCCCCCGTCTCAAGGCTCACAATGTCGTCTGCTCCAGAATATGTCTTTGCTAGAAACTACTTGGACAACAACCGGTATTTCATCGTCAACTCTACCATATCAGCGTAGCTAACGATCGCAGCATCAATCTCCAGCATTATCTCTGTGTGCAGCTTTTCGGATACCACATCCACCCTTCGATCCCCGTTTCAGATGTGAACAACCTGCGCATCGCAGATGTTGGCACTGGTACTGGGTGAGCCTGACAGAAACCCCCCCCTCTCCCCCCGCCCTTTCTTGGTAGATCTACGCTCATCTAGGCAGAATCTGGCTCACGGACTTGACGGATACGTTTCCTTCAACTGTTCAACTGGATGGACTTGATGTCTCGTTCGATGCCACTCCTCCGAAAGATTGGCTCCCATCCAACGTGGGCCTCCATCACTGGGATATCAAGGCCGATGTTCCTGAGCACCTGGTTGGAGTCTACGATATTGTCCATGTTCGCCATTTTGCGTTTGTTCTCCAACAAGACGACTTGAAAGGCGTTCTTGAGAATCTCCTCAAACTTCTAAGTATGTTGCCTTTTTCCTTTCTTTTCTTTTCTTTTTTTTTCCCTGCGAGAGGAAAGTCACCATACTAACGAACGGATCTCCAGAGCCCGGTGGCTATCTGCAATGGGCCGATCTCGACGTATCCTCGCTGCGTGTGGAGAAGATCAAGCCCGATGTCAAGGTGGACTCACAGGTTAAATTGATGAGCCTTTTTCAATCCAACGACACCCGTCTCCACTCGGGTTGGGTTCCCGGTCTACCTTCGCTTTTCACCGAGCACGGATTCATCAATGTCGAAGCTGATGTGAAGGAAGCGCCGCCTCATCTGGGAGTCGCACTGCATGAGTGTGGAATGTTGGCCACGGAGGTCTTAGCCCGCAACAAAGCCGGTGGAAATGAGCAGATGGTCCAGCAGTTGAGACAGCTTCTCGAGGAGGCCGCGAAGGAGACTCGGGAAGGGTCGGTTCTGGCGTTTACTAGACTCACGGTGATCGGCCAGAAGCCAAGTCAGTAGGATCACTAGGCGCTTTGGCCTGAAGTAGTTTATTTCCATGATCGCTGGACCGCCCCCTTCGTGTCGTGGAGGGTTTCACGTTCTCTCGCTGGCATGCACGAGGCTTATAGCAACGATCAGCATGTTTATTCACGATTAATGATACTTGATAGTACTCTAATAATTAGAATGCTTCGTCAGCCCAACAATGCAATCATCAGGAGTTCAGAACATATCTCCAGCCTTCCAGGCTTACATTCGTCCGTGATACCATCGTTTCAAACGCGACTACATAAGCGCTGCAAGGTGAGCAGAGATCGGCCATTCAGCCTCCAAACTTCCCAAGAATGCAACCCCGCTGCAAGCAAGGGAGTTGAACGAGAGGCCACAGAAAGATACAGGACAGGACAAGGATTGATAGTACCCAGCAGTGCCTCTGCCCTGTGAAGTTCTGAGCCTACAGGGAGCAAGAAATAGGGTGTCATCCGGTCGGTCACCGCGCGACGGTGGGTAACACAAATTCATGGCAGAAACTGCCCGGATGGGCCATCTGCACCACCCCATACCTGTATTTATAGCCTCGATGAGCTGGCTGCTCGACTCTCTCTGTTTGGAATAGAATCAAAAAAAAAAAGAGAAAAAGAAGAAGAAAATCGATGACACCTAAATGGACGCTTAGGTGATATTCTTTCTTTCTTTTTTTTTTTTTTTGCGCTCCCGTTTCTCTCTCGACTCCTCCTCCTTTCCTCCCCCATCTGAGGTCCTTGCTGCGCATATTGAAGCAGTCAGACGACCCAGATGGCGGATCATAATATCGTCCAGTATTCGCCTGCTTACCTTGCAGAGGACAGGCGCCCTGCACTCCTGAGCGTGGCCGTCGCATTTCTGGTTCTGGGCACCGTCGCTGTCATCTTACGGTTTGTTTCTCGTCGGATTGGTCGGGTCGGTTGGCATCACGATGATATCTTTATTGTTGCTGGCTGGATATTCTATGTGGCTTTTATAGCCGTTGCCATCGGTATTTCCTTTTTTTTTTTCTCTCTCGTGTTCGGGGAGGGGCCCGGGGTTCTTCTATGCATAGTGATGTATTGACGGTTGATGATTTAGGTGATGTGCATTATGGCGGCGTCGGCCTGCACCAAGTCCGCGTCATGGCCATCGACCCCGTCATGTTGACGAACTGGGCCAAGTTCCTGCTGGCGATCGCCTTCATCTACATCTTCGCCGTGATCCTCCCCAAGCTCGCCGTACTCAGCCTGTACATCTCCATCTTCAGCCGCCACCGCCTCTCCCGGCTGACCTGCTACATCACCGGTGCCTTGATGATCGGCAACTGCATCGGCTGCGCGGCGGCCGGCTTCGCGGTGTGCACACCGCTGCGGAAATTGTGGGAGCCCAGTGTCCAGGGTCACTGTCTCAACATCAATGCGTGGTTCCGGTACTCGCGGATCGTGAATATCGCGTCGGATGTGGTGATGCTCGTGCTGCCTATTCCGCATGTGGTACGCTTGCAGTCAACGATACGGTTGAAGGTGGGCTTGCTGATCACGTTTCTTCTGGGGAGTGTGTGAGTTGCGCGTTTCCTCTCCCCACCGTGTCACTGGGAGAACGATGCTGAGATGCTATAATCAGTGGTCTCATTGCCGGCCTCATCGCCCTCTTCGCTGTCAGCACCACCAACGCCGTCTCGGATAACACCTGGTCGGCAGCATTGCTGCTCATCTGGACCATGGTCGAGTTGGGCATGTACCTTGTCGCCTCGTGCTTGATCTCGTACCAGCCGCTGGCTAAGTTGATCTGGCGGAATACCTGGCGTCGATGGCGCGGCCAGAAGGACAGCTCGCTGGACCAGGAAGACAGTCATATTCGTGTGCACACAAATAGCACACTGGCCAGCCAAACCCATGGAAGGGTAAAGGGAGACGATGCGTATTTGGAGTTAGTGACAACCAGGGATCGTCATAATAGGCACTGGTCCGCCGGAGGGATCATGGTTGAGCGTCAAGTGATGATTGACTGATTGACGAAATAAATATCAATACCCATAGACGATATTACCTTCGAACCAAGGTAGCCCTCCCTGATAGTGCTTATCCAGCCAGTTGAACTGGTTGGTGGGGTGTCCGAGGACTGATTTGTCTTTGGGAGCCTGCCTGTCTAGGTAGTGGTATATGGAGCCATTGATGGTTCCCTTCAGTAGTCTTTGGAGCCCCTCCACCGAATAAATCGCTACATGCAGAAAGTTCTTTACCGGAGGAGTGGGGGGGGGTATAAACATTTCTCGGAGCGCCTTGGAGGCTTCAGCAGTGGCCATCTGTCGCCTGTTGGTGATCACGATCTTGTTGCTGAATTAAAAAAAAAAAAAAAAAAAAAAACTCTTGGGAAGATGTTTCCGCACCGAGCTCCATGGACCATGGTTGTATCATACCATCGGGAGGGATAACAGCATCCAATTGCCGCCTTTCAGTGTTTGTTCATCCCAAACTATGAAATCAGGGACTAGTTACTGAACTCACTAGTGGCCAGAAGGATTTGCTCAATCGGAGCAACTTGCAACTAGCACAGGCCAAGAGGCTCCGGTTGATCGCGGATTGGAAGCCGAGTACGGAGGACAACTTGCATCCGAACGTAAGCGTGAGCTCTCTCGTACGGAGTTATGCAGATAAATTTGGTCTATAGTTTCTGGAGTAGATGAAATGAGTAGTAAGTCCATATGTTACTCGAAATGATTCGAGGAGTGTTGATGGCGTCTGGGCGTCGAGACGTCCCTAGTAGTAGGAGTAGGAGTAGGAGTAGGAGCCATCTGAGACTGAGATCAAGTGGCGGTCAGGACTCAAGAGACTTCGACCTTCGACTCTACGTACCTACCTACTGTGGCCTCAGGCACCTCCGAGAGTACCTTGCTGCCTGAGGCGACCAATGCCCCGCCCGCAAAATCCCTCCGAGTCCGACAAGTCAGCAAAATGCAATTCCCCCCCTCTCTCTGTTGTCCCTCTTTTTCCCTCTCCCGCCCTTTTATTATTTCTTCCTCTTCCTCTTCTTCCTTTCCCCCCCCCTCTTCATCCTCCTCTCCTTTCTTCATCAACCTCTCCAGTAAGTCTTCTCATCCTGCTCCCTCATATTCAAAGCAAATCGAGAGGATCTCTTCTAACGCATCTCTATCAGTTTTTACCTCTTTTCCATCTTTCATCCTCACCACAATCACAATGGCTGCCCCCGCTCAGAAGTTCAAGGTCGCCGACATCGTACGTGGCCCCCCTTCTTCACAACATCTCCTCCCAAAAAAATAAAAAAAAAATCGAAAAAAAAAATACCCGTCCTGTTCATCCTGTTGACCCTTCCATAGTCGCTGGCTGCCTTCGGCCGCCGCGAGATCGAGCTCGCCGAGATTGAGATGCCCGGTCTCATGGCCATCCGCCGCAGATACGCTGAGGATCAGCCCCTGAAGGGTGCCCGCATTGCCGGTTGTCTTCACATGAGTATGTTGTCAAGCTCTTGTTCCCGATCATGCCGACCGACTCTGACCGTTTCCCCCCAGCCATCCAGACTGCCGTCCTCATCGAGACCCTCACTGCCCTCGGTGCCGAGGTCACCTGGACCAGCTGCAACATCTTCTCCACCCAGGACCACGCCGCCGCTGCCATTGCTGCCTCCGGTGTCCCTGTGTAAGTCGATTATACTCCGGAGATCGTTAAGGCGAGGCTAACAATATATAATATAGTTTCGCCTGGAAGGGTGAGACCGAGGAGGAGTACCAGTGGTGCTTGGAGCAGCAGCTCGGTGCCTTCAAGGATGGCCAGAAGCTCAACATCATCCTTGACGACGGTGGTGATCTGACCTCCCTCGTCCACACCAAGTACCCTGAGATGCTCAAGGGCTGCTACGGTGTCTCCGAGGAGACCACCACCGGTGTCCACCACCTCTACAGAATGCTCAAGGAGAAGAAGCTCCTTGTGCCCGCCATCAACGTCAACGACTGTGTCACCAAGTCCAAGTTCGACAACCTGTACGGCTGCCGTGAGTCCCTCATCGACGGTATCAAGCGTGCCACCGATGTCATGATTGCCGGTAAGGTCGCCGTTGTTGCCGGTTACGGTGATGTCGGCAAGGGCTGTGCCGATGCTCTCCGCAGCATGGGTGCCCGTGTCCTCGTCACTGAGATCGACCCCATCAACGCTCTCCAGGCCGCCGTCCAGGGCTACCAGGTCACCACCATGGAGGAGGCCGCTCCCCAGGGTCAGATCTTCGTCACCACCACCGGCTGCCGTGACATCCTCGTCGGCAAGCACTTCGAGGTCATGCGCAACGATGCCATCGTTTGCAGTAAGTTTATCCTTCCAGATCTCTTATTCCTGCTCGGTACTGAACGAATCAGACATTGGTCACTTCGACATCGAGATCGACGTTGCCTGGCTCAAGGCCAACGCCAAGTCCGTCCAGAACATCAAGCCCCAGGTTGATCGTTTCCTGATGCCCAGCGGCAACCACATCATCCTCCTGGCTGAGGGTCGTCTGGTCAACCTTGGCTGTGCCACCGGCCACTCTTCCTTCGTCATGTCCTGCTCTTTCTCCAACCAGGTCCTTGCCCAGATCGCTCTGTTCAAGGCCGAAGATGAGGCCTTCGGCAAGAAGTACGTCGAGTTCGGCAGCAGCGGCAAGAAGGAAGTCGGTGTCTACGTTCTTCCCAAGGCTCTGGACGAGCAGGTTGCTCTGCTCCACCTGGAGCACGTCAACGCCAAGCTGTCCAAGCTCACCCCCGTTCAGGCCGAGTACCTTGGTCTGGATGTCAACGGTCCTTTCAAGAGCGACATGTAAGTTCCCATGTGGTCCCCTTGGTTTTTTTTTTTTTTTTTTTTTTTTTTTTTTTTTTTTTTATTTTCCAGATGGTCTTGTACTGACTCGCCGCAGCTACCGCTACTAAACAATTTCGTTTCTTCAACCGGCGACGCTTGACATATCTTGACATATAGACCTTTTTCAACATGATCACGATGTTACGAACAACATAAAGGGTTCTCTATCAACTTAGAGCTCAAAAGTATTTTGTCTTCAACGGCAATAAAAGTGGCATATCTGGGGGTTTTTCTTTTCCTATTGGTTGTATGGGCGGGTCTACCTGGAGTTTGCATTCAACACTGCCTACCGATATGTTCTTTTTTCTTAATAGTATACCCCGACTCGATCGGGCCCAATGATACCAAGCCGATGCCAACGCATTGGATTTATACCATGATGCTTTTGCTCGTGTGCTCAGCCGTTCGAATGTAGAGACGCGTGGTGTTTTGTTTTGTTCGCTTGCTTTGAAACGCTAACATCAACATATAAAAAACAAAACTCGGTATCAAATCGTATATCGTCACAGCATCTATCCTGTCTTTCTCATCAGATCAACAAGGGAATCGGCAACAAAATCGGCAAACTCTGGATCATTGATCTCCTTGGCCTGCCGCAGTATTGTGATGCCTGACCCCGCCAACTCCTTCTCGAGCGTCGAGAACAGCGCCTCGTCGGCCTCGGGGTCATAGAAGGGCTGCCCCGCCGTATTCAGCATACTGATTCCTTCCGTAGGAAGAACCACCCGCACTCGATCCGGACGGGTCGCACAGCCTCTCAGCTTCTCCGCCATAAACCGGGCAATCCGCCTACACTCGTCGGGGGTCGTCCGCACCAGCGTCACCGTGGGATTATGCTCATGCACCACCCTCCCCTTCCCAAACCTCTCCGGCAGCGACCCCCGCGCCCCGAAATTCACCATGTCGCACGCCCCCACGCTGATCACCGCGGGGATCCCCGCGGCCGCCGCGGCGCCCAGCCGCTCCGGCCCCGCCGATAACACCCCGCCCACCAGCTCGTCCGCGATCTCGGTGGTGGTCAGGTCGACGACGGCGTCGAGCTGGCGCTCGCGCACCAGCCGCTCCATCGCTTTCCCGCCGGCGCCTGTCGCGTGGAACACGTAGATTTCGCACGCGCCGGCGAGCCGCTGCTGCAGGCGCGCGCGCACGGCGTCCACGGCCGGCGTCGTGACCCCGAACATGGTGATGCCGATGCGCGGGTGGCCGGCGTCCCTGGTGCTGCTGCTGCTGCCATCGCTGTCTGTGCCGCGGCTGCTGTGGAAATATGAGCCGGCCATCCCCGCTATCGCTGCGGCGGCGTTGGCCAGGATGCGCTTGAGGATGCGGTTTGTGCCGGCGATGTCGACGACGCTGTACATCAGCGTCAGGTCTGTTTCCTCGACGTAGGGCGTCACGTCGCCCGAGGCCATGGTCGAGACCATGAGCTTGGGGAAGCCGACGGGCAGGGCGCGCTGCATGACGGCGGTGGCGAGGGCGGTGCCGCAGGAGCCGCCGATGCCGAGCACGGCGTGGATGCGGCGGGCGCGGTGGAGCGCGCGGATGGTGGTGCTGGCGAGGTCGGTCATCTGCCGGATGTAGTCTGCGCGCGGGAGGGAGGAGAGTTTGGGGGGTTGGTTAGGGTTGCGGGAGTCGGCTGGCGGGCAGAGCTCGGGGTGTTTGAGGGCGATGGAGGAGTCGGCGTAGTAGGGGCTGTGGCCGATGTCCATGAGCAGGACGGTGCAGGGGGTGTGCTGCGAGAGGATTTGTTGCTGTGTGTAGTGCATCTCGTCCCATTTGGTGTCGCAGGTGCCCATGAGGACGATGGTGGCTTTGGAGGGCTCTTCTTCCGTGGCTGATGAGGACGACATGATGGACTTACTTCGCAGGGTGGTGAGAACTACGTAGCGTGCCCGATTCAGCCTTCCTTGGTAGCAGATGGACTAGAAGTCTAGAGTAATAGATAAATAAATCCTGGGAGAAAGAAATGAGGTCGACCACTCACTGGCTTATAAGTTATAACAAACTAAATGCGCGAGTGACGCAGCAAGTGGGGGTGGTCGACCATCCGCTTTTATTTCCCTTCTTCCCTTCTTCCCTTTTTCCCTTTCGCATTTCACTTCTTTGCAACAAACACGTCGATGCAAATCCTACCCTGATTCCTGATCAATCTGCCAGCATGCCTCGTCCAACCACTCGCCAGGAAGTGCTCGCTCGCCTACGCCAGACCATCGCCGAGGGGTCGATCATCGTCGGCGCGGGAGCTGGTATGCTGCATCGCTTACCCCCCCCCCCCAAACCAGATTCTTGTGCGGATCGCTCGACTAACCCGTGGGCCCAGGCATCGGTCTCTCTGCCAAATTCATCGAAAAGGGAGGCGCGGATCTCATTCTCGTGTACAATTCTGGCCGCTTCCGCATGGCCGGACGAGGGTCCCTAGCCGGCCTGATGCCGTACTCGGACGCCAACCAGGTCGTGGTGGAAATGGTGCGTTGTCAACGGAGTCACTTCCGTCTCCCCCATGATCAAGTAGAAAGAGCAAAAAAAAAAAAAAAAAAAAAAAATAGAAGTGAGCTACAGCCTACAGACGCTAACATACCATCCTTCCCACCGCGTGCGGCGGAAGTACGGGAGGGTTGGAAAGGAAAACAGGCCAACGAAGTGCTCCCCGTGGTACAGCACACGCCCGTGCTCGCCGGCGTATGCGGGACGGATCCCTTCCGCAGCATGGGCGAATTCCTGCAGCAGCTGCGCAGCATCGGGTTCGTGGGGGTGCAGAACTTCCCGACGGTGGGGCTCATTGACGGCAAGTTCCGCCAGAACCTCGAGGAGACGGGCATGGGCTTCGACAAGGAGGTCGAGATGATCCGGCTCGCGCACGAGATGGACCTCGTCACCACGCCGTATGTCTTCACCGTCGACGAGGGCGAGCGCATGGCGCGCGCCGGCGCGGACGTCATCGTCGTGCATGTCGGCCTCACAACCTCCGGCACGATCGGTGCCCAGACCGCGCTGTCGCTGGATGACTGCGTGCGTGTCATCCAGGAGATCCGCGATGCGGTGGTCGCGGTCAACCCGGAGGTCATTGTGCTGTGCCATGGCGGGCCGCTGGCGGGTCCCCGGGACGCGGAGTATGTGCTCAGTCGGACGCACGGGGTGCATGGCTTCTTTGGCGCGAGCAGCATGGAGAGGTTACCGGTGGAGTTGGCGATCCAGGAGAACGCGGAGGCGTTTAAGCGGTTGAAGGTCAATCATTCTTCTGCTTGACTTGGGAGTTAAGCCTTTTGTCTTTTACCCCTATGGACTAGTCAAATTAAGGCTGTAAATGTCAAAACGAAGCTATGGACGCAACAACTTAGCCGAGTGTACACTTCTTGTTAGAAAGATCCATTCTACGTGTCTGTTGGAACCGCCGGAGCCCCAAAAGGGCAATTCTCCGGGGCGCAGACAGTGGAGTTGTATCCACCCAGCAGACTTGAGGGTTGACACTCTGTTTCTGCTATGGTTACGCTGTACGCTGCAGGTGACACCCTCGAGCGAGACGGTTAAAAGGATGATGAGGGCCACAAAGGCACCAGGTGGTCAGCGCAGTTGTGCTATATAAACGAGGGGTGACCCCGCCGTAAAGAGACGGACAATTCAACCTGGACAAACTAAACAGCAGCTTTTACTGAGTAACTTGCGAGATCTCTATCTGCTTTCAATTCAAACATTCTCCTTGTGATCATCTCACAGCAAGAGAAAAAAATGTCTCGGCCTCTAGAGGGGAAATTCGGCATCGTCACGGGGGGCTCCCGGGGTAAGTCTCCCCCCATCTACATCCACGTCCTCCATCCCCAAGCTACGGCTACATGATGTACAAGCAAAACTAACGATTCAGGCATCGGCGAGGCCATTGCCCGTAACCTGGCCGAAAAGGGCTGCTCGCTCCTCCTGAACTTCACGTCGGAGTCCTCGCGCGCGCGCACCGAGGAACTCTGCGCCTCGCTGGCCACGACACACTCGATCCGCTGCGTCGCGGTGCAAGCGGACCTCGAGCGCGCCGAAGAAGCGGTCCCACAGATCCTGGCGGCCGCAACGGACCACTTCACGTCGGCGGCGGGCAGGTTCCAAATCGACATCCTCATCAACAACGCCGGCGTCTCCGCCGACCGCTGCCTCAACGACCCGGCCAAGGGCCCCATCGACCGCGACCACTTCACCTGGCACTACAGCATCAACGTGCTCGCGCCGCTGCTGCTCACGCAGGCCTGCGCCCCCTTCCTCCCCACCGACCGCTCCGGCCGCATCGTCAACATCTCCTCCGTCTCCTCCAGCATCGGCTTCGCCGGCCAGACCGTCTACGGCGGCACCAAGGCGGCGCTCGAGGCCATGACGCGCTCGTGGGCGCGCGAGCTCGCCGACCGCGCCACCGTCAACGCCATCAACCCCGGCCCCGTCGTCGGCGACATGTACTTCAAGACCGGCGAGGGGTTCTGGCGTCAGATGCAGGGCTTCCAGGACGCGACGCCGCTGAGCAAGATCGTCGAGGATGATTCGCAGCTCGCAGCCTTGGCTCCGGAGCAGATCCGCTTGATTCGTGAGAAGATGGGTGGCCGTCGACCTGGGTTCACGAGTGAGGTGGCCGGTGTGGTCGGGATGCTGTGCACGACGGATGGGCGGTGGTGTACGGGGAGTGTGGTGTGTGCGAATGGAGGCATGAGGATGGGATTCTAGAAGATATCAGATAGTCGATCCAAAAGATTTGTTTTTTTTTTGAAGATTGGAGATGTTTAGATGGTAGTCAATGACTTTCAAGAATGTATGTATTATTTATTTAGGATACTTCATTTCATGCAACCATCGACTCCCACACGTGAGTGTGTGAGAGAGAGAGAGAGAGAGAAAGAAGGCCTGATGTCATCCACGAGAATCCCGACCCCGACGCTTCAACAACGCCGATTTATCAGCATCAGCATCAATTCTTCCTCCAACAACACTTCTCCATCATCCTCAATTGAGAATCAATTGCAACGAGAACACAATGTCCTCTCTCCGATCCAGCTCCGCGCGAGGCCGCTACCTCCTCCATCCTCACCTCCGCCATAGCGTTCCCCGACCAACACCAACACCCACACCCTCCTCCCTCTGCCTCGCCCTCCACTACCGGGTCCCTTTCACCCCATCCGCCCGCCCTCTCTCCATCCACGCAAAACGACCAGTCCTCCCATCCCCATCCCCACGCATCAATCCCTACCTTCCCAGCTCCGTCCGACAAATCACCCAATCCCAATCCAGCACGGGAAAATCACAACCGGACCTCCTCGTCGAAGAACTCCAAGAACTGTACTCCCCCCCACGGACTCTATATTGTTCAACCCCCATGGCTAGCTGCATGACAAACAAACAACTAACGAACGAACTAACTAACGCGGGGGTAAATCACCAGCTACGAAAACGCCAAGGACGAATTCGAAATCGCCACGGATAGCACCGACGGCGCCACCATCTACGCCGCCTCGGACCGCGAGTCGGCACGGGACGCCCTCGACGAGCTTCTTGCCGTCTTTGCGCTGTATACCACTGAGCTGGCGGAGGGGGCTGGAGCGGGAGTGAGGGCGGGGGCAGAGGCGGAGGCGGAGGAGGAGGACGCGCAGGGGAAGGTGGTTTCCACGAACTTTGATCCTGCGGATATTGCGCCGGAAGTGCGCGAGGAGGTGCGCCGGAGGGTTGGGCATCGGGTGCGGGAGCTGCAGAATGCGGTGGAGGCGTTGGAGGAGAGGGCTCATGCGGAGTGAGGAGAAGGGGGGGAAATGGTCATCAAGGCATAAAGCATTTCGAGCTGCTATTATACATTTCGCATGTCATGATCAATTATGGTATCCCAAACACTTCGAGGTATAGAATTAAATCCTTCTTATTTTTGTTTTCCAACGCCGTTTCGCCTGTATCTGTATCCAGTCGTCGTATCGTAGCATCGCATGCATTTCTTTCTTTCTTTCTTTTGTTTCCGGGTCGGAGCCGCCTTGACGCCAAAACGCTGTGGTTGAACAAAAGCCTTCAAACGCCGAGAGGGTATGCGAACTGATCTATGATGGGGGAAGGGAAGATCGGGCTGTCCGATTTGTGGGTTGTCCGAATATGTCGTTTCAATTGATCTGAGGAGGAGGATCTTAGTATCAGTGGGCTTCTTGGGGTCGATGGGAGACGTACCAGGTCGAGTGAAACTCTTGCTGCACCCAAGGTAGGTACATTTGTGTTTCCGTTCTCTGTGGGCTGCTCATGATTAGTCCCCGCATTTGATTACACCGTGGGAAGACATACTGAGTCGATGACTCGACATGTTGGAAGACTGCAAATGTCAGAAATGAAGTTTTGACAACGGAGCAAAGATACTTACATCGCCTGTTTGAAAATTGCATCCCGGATACGTGCACTTGAACGGCTTCTCGCCCGTATGTGTTCTCGAATGCGTTTCTATAGGGATTAGCGGTTAGTTGGCCAGAAGGGGCTTGTTGGGATCCTCACTGAGTTCGCTGCTGTCGGTGAATGACTTCCCACAATCAGCACACTTGTACGGCTTCTCGCCGCGATGACTTCGCTCGTGCCGTTCCAATGTCGCCTGTCGGGCAAACAGCTTGCCACAAACCGAACATTTGAAGTTTTTGTCTGTCAGAACCGGTTCGTTAGCTCATCGTTTTTTTTTTTTTTTTTTTTTTTTTTTGCTTTGCTCGGTCATTGTGCCAACTCACAATTACTGTGCGTCAGGAAATGGCCCTGAAGCTTAGACTTTTGCGAGAACGGCGCATCAGGCCGATGACATCCCTCCCAGCAGCAGTAATATCCGGTGCCTTTCGATCCGTCAATCGTTCCCATATGGTTCGCGATCAAATGATCCTGCAGTGCACAAGGATCGGAAAACGTCGCGCCGCAAGTGGTTTTGGCGCCAAGGATGGTGGTGCTGGTCCATTTACAGGCATAGACTTCGCTGTCCACGAGCGACTCTGGACTTGTTAACACCGATGAGATCCCGCCTTCCAGCGGAGGGGGTGTCTCGCCCGGACTGGAAATCAGTTGTGAGCTCACGCTGGATCGCGAATGGCGCGAATAAGGGGAGTAGGGGCCGTATGGATGAATATGATGCGAGTGAGGATGGATCCGGCATCGATGGTGGGATCGACAGGGTCCCTTGATCGGTACATCCACATGTGGGTGAACTGGCGCTTTTGAGGATTCATGGGCAATGTGCGGCAGGTGAAAGCACGAAAAAGAATCCGCAGTGTTATCATCTAGCTTGCCCAAAGCTTCACAACTGTGATCGTTGTGCGCATGGAAGTCAGGGCACGCCGAGATGCTTGGACACATGCCCAACATCTGGAACACATCCGCCGGGTTGACTTCGTTCTGGACTGGAAACGGGGCATTTACCAGACTGTTGTGCGAGTCTCGAGGGAACGGATGACAATGAAAATGGTGGAAGGGGTGAGGGTGGCAGTGGTTGATCGCGGTCGAGTACGGTGCAAATAAAGCATCGGTGGACTGAGCGGAGTCAGCGAGGTGGGGGGGGCCGTGCTCGGTGGTTTTTGCTGGCTGGATCTGGCTATGGTCGATAGTCATTGAGGGAAGCAGATCGCATGCTTCCAGCTGTAGAGAAGGGCCTAGTCCCAGTAACGAGTCTAGAGCATTGTGGTCTGTGGGCTGGCCGTTCTGGTCATTGGCAGTGAAGCAGTGTTCATCGAAGCAGACCGGCTCCCCACTCTGACAGTTTTTATCATCACAGTGTGATACAGAACAGACAGTGACGGTGTCACAGTCGACAAAGCCATCGCAGACCGAAGGACAGCCGACGGAGCATTCATCGATATCGCAGCATACTTCCTCGTCAACGGCACAATGCGTCAGCAAGGTGTGATGCTCATCATCCGGACAGTTCCACTGAGGCTGAGCGGAAGTCTCCGAGGCGTCTTGGGAGTCTTTTCCGTCTATGTGGAAAGCCTCCCAGTGACACTCGAGACAGAAGTCGTCTTTCTTGGTGTGAGTAGACATGGAGACGGGACGATCCGTGGTGACGGGATCTTCAGAGAGAGCACTTCTGTGAGGTGAGATAGGAAAAAGAACTCGAGATACGGGTAGAAAGATCAGAGTTCAATGGCTCGTAGCAATTTGAAGAAAAAGAAACAAGGTGGGGGTGGGAAAAAAAAAAGATCAGGTTTGGGGTTGGAAGCACTGTCGACGTTGGGTTAGCTCGGCCAGTTCCACTATGCGCTGCAAGGAGCAGGGGGAGAGACCAACAGGCACTGGGTGCTGAGGAACACCCACGATATGCAAACAACTCGACTAGATAGTCGTCAGGGTCAGGCCAGGCGCCTCAGAGCGTCGATGAGCAAAGGCTGGCTGCAACAATCGCAGCAACGCCAGTCCACCAAGTGGGATTGACCGCCTGCAGTGCAAATCCAGGAGGACCTTGGGAGCTTCCCACGTGTATATAATTGACGGATGGTGACATCCAGATCTGCCCGAGGAGAGAGATTCGTTGTCATACCCCTATGGTAATGGGATCTGAGGAGATGGGCAAAAGTCTCATGGTCTTCGTCCTTTTATTCAGTGCGTTCAGCATGCGATCTCTCTCAGTATGGATGGCCGAAGAGTGTAAGATTACCCAAGATTACCCAAGATTACCCACTGATACGCCTCGTGACCCTTTCTCTCTCCCTCGCAGAACAGATTCACAGAGCACCGAGGGGTACTACTCCGTATGGTACTGTGGTACTGTACTAATGGGGACCCTGGGGGCAAACCCGGCAAACAACAATATATGATTGAGGACCTTGTGGGCAAAGCGTCATTCCCTCAGGCCAGCCAATCGTGGTGCCTGAATTGTCAGGCTGCAGATTTAGCGTATCGCTAGTGAGAGGGTCCTCGACTCCTCAATCCTCATACTAGATACTCCGTACCGAGTAGTGAGAGTTAGTTAGGATTAGTCTCTCGTGGCCAGATAAGGATTTAGACAATTTAGACGAAATCAAACAAAATCTCGCTTGATGAATTGAATCTTTGCCGATCATTCTGATGAACTCCCACTGCGACGACGGATTCCCATGGGTGACCGTGGAAAAGTCTTCCACAGGGATCGACAAGATGGAATACTGCCGAGTCATACCGCCCGGGATTAGCTAATTGGTCGGCCCTACGCATGGGTGCCTTGTTGCCTGATATCACATCATTTGACACTTCAATCAGAGCAACAGCGTGTGATCAACTGTCACTGTTCATTATTATTAGTAGTCGTCCGAATAATCCCTGATATACCACATACGATGAACATCTCAGCGACCTTATGATTCCTGCGTTTTCTTAACACAATATCCCCTGTAATAGCTTGGCTGATATTGCGTGATACTGAGACGTCATCGCGGTTTCTTGAGAAACTATGCCATGATGGAATTTATGTCTCGAAGTACTTACTTACTCTACAACCAAACCCAGAGCTTCCAATGTCAAAGCGTTTCTTTGATAATACACCGAGTTCTATGGACGATGTTGTTTGGACTCGGTCAACAATGCGATATCGTGCTATAGGCTAAATACCTCTCTCTCTTAGTTAGGGATAAAGTACCTGGAGTCTGGAGACAAGCCACAACCACGTGCTCCGCCCCCCCCTGATCTCCTCCAGATCGCCGCCGTTCCTCGTAGTTGATGTCTTGATGATCTCCAACTGTCAACTTCCAACATCCACCATATTGCCACACCTTGGAGTTTTAAATTTCGCCCCTCATACACTGTACAGACTCTCAACACCATAAACCACATCCAGAAATCTCCAGCTCCTCTAGTCCTTCTGCCCCTCACGGTCAATCAACTTCCTCCCTAACCAAGCCACCGCTCGTATCTCTCCCACGATCCCCAGTATCACATCCACCACCTCCACATCCACATCCACCCCCCGCTCGATCCCTCACTACATCTACACCACACTAAATCCACACCCCAACCCACCACCAAATGGGCAACATCTGCTCCAGCTCCAAAAACCAACCCTCCGCCTCCTCCCAACCCGGCCGCGTCCTCGGCTCCTCACAACACCCGCCCTCCGCCGCCCCGCGCGCCCCGCTCCCCGCAAAATCAAACCGACAAGCAAACTGGAAATCGCCGGGCCGGACGCTCGGCGACAGTGACGGAGACACGGCCGAGGGTGCAGACGCTGACCGCGCGGATGCGCGCACGAACGCGGCCATAGCGGCGCAGGTAAGACTGATGATCACCCCCCCCGAGTTGTGTTCCTGTGTGTATGGGATAGGATGGGATAGGCTGACCAGGTGTTCCTTTTTTTTTGGGAGGGGTTTAGAATCGGGCAGAGTCGGCGGCCGGGGCGCAGAAGGGGAAGTTAGGGTCGAGGCTTGCGGCGCAGAAGGCACAGACGCAGGCGCAGACGTTGAGTGAAGCGAGTCGGGAGCAGACGGCCGTGAGGAATATGGATCAGGCGAGTGAGGCGACGAGGTGGAATTGATTTTGGGTGGTTGGATGGGGATGTTCTGTGTTCTTGGTGGTTGATTTTTTTTTTTGAGCTATGCGATGCATTATTGTTCTGCTGTTTTACTTTTGTTGGGCTGTCTATGGGGTGGAGTCGGCTGAATACCATGTCGTTTAGATCGGTTGGCAGTATAAGGATACTACAGAGTGTGTTGCGTGCTGGAACGTGAGACCTTCAGCGGGATGTGAAGTTGTCCATGATCATTCAACCACGGGAAGATTTATGATACAGTCAACTAGGCGGTATTTATCAAACAACATTATATCGTCCTCCCACCGGCGCCCTGGCATCGCTGTCCGCTGCGGCTATCGTGCCCTCCTTGAGCAACCGCATCAACTCCCGCATGGCGTTCGTCACGGCCAGTTCCGTCTCGCCCTCAACAAGAATATACAGCTTGGCGTTCTCGTTCGGACCGGGTACCTTGCCAGGAGGGTAAAAACTGCCCTTCGTGGTAATCGATGTGCCAGTAGCCTCGAGAATCTTGGCCACATTCGTCCGGTTGGTGACTGCCCAGCGAGCTTTTTCTGTAGCGTGAAAAACATATTAGTAATTTCTCTTGAAACCAATTGATAGCCAGAGTGGTGATGGACTTACGGGGAAAATCGTTGATCTCCAGGGTAGCGTGGTACGCTCCCGCATCCGGACCACGGTTGTCGATCGGTACACCTGACCGCATGACACCAGCTCGGCTAAGACGAGCATGGATGTCAGCAACAGCCGAGCCAACCTTGTCTAAAGGATTCTTCGACGTGCCCGCCGGATCCTTCTCAGTCCTGTGCACAGTAATCTTGCCATCAAGATCAATGCCCTTGGGGACGCCGGGCAGAGTGGGGGCGGCCGCAGCAGCAGACTGCACCGAGGACAAGGCCTTGTTGAATCGCTCGTCTGCCTTTTCGGCCTTGTCTTCCTTCTCTTCCTCATCTTCACCCTCCTCGCCGGTCTTGTAGGTGCGCCGTTCCCGGTTCCGAGCCGCATCTCGCTCCTGGTCGAGGCGCTCCAAGCCTTTACCTCCAAACCCTGACGCACTGGCCTTCTCCTTGCCAGCCTTGACCTTCTCCAAGAAGGAGTCGACCATCTTTTGGACAGGCTCGGGCACTTGCTGCCCACTCTGCTTCAGAGCCTTGGCAATATCCACCGAGTAACGTTCCTGCTCTTCCGTCAGGAATGTCACTGCAGTACCGGTGTTACCAGCACGACCGGTTCGGCCAGCTCTGTGGACGTAATCTTCTAAATGGTTTGGCGCATCGTAGTTGACCACCAGCTTCAATTGCTTCACATCTAAACCACGGGCCGCGACAGATGTGGCAATCAGAACAGGGAAAATACCAGCCTTGAAATCTTCGATAGTAGAATCTCGATCGATCTGATCCTTGCCTCCGTGGATGGACATGCAAGGGTAGCCCTTGCGCATCAGTTCGCGAAGGAGAGCATCAGCAGCTTCCTGACGCTCCACAAAGATCAATGAACGAGCATCCTCATTGGCGTCATCGGAGTATAAGTTGCCCAAGATCTCCAGAAGTCGCACGAACTTGGTGTCCTCGTTCCGAACCTCGACAATTTGTGTAATCTCCGGCGCAACAACACTCCGACCTCCAACGATGATTTCAATTGGCTTGGTTAATGCTTTACGTGCCAAGGCCTCCATGTTCCGCGGGAAAGTGGCCGAAAATAGCACGGTTTGCCGATCAGGTCTGATGTTCGCCATGATTTTCATCACTTGGGGTTCGAAACCCATGTCGAACATGCGATCAGCTTCATCCAGAACGACGTAAGTAACTCTGCGAAGATTGGTGACCCTGCCCGCATTTGCCGCTAGGAGGTCAATCATCCGCCCGGGAGTACATACGACGATCTCGGCACCACGCTTCAGGTCTGCGATTTGGTCTTTAATGGGGGCACCGCCATACGCACATACGGCCCGCAAGTTCAAAGCTTTGAGGAAGGGCTTGCAGTCTTTGTGGATCTGAGTTGCTAACTCACGTGTCGGTGTCATGATGAGGCCGATGGGCCCTTCCATGTTGTCCAGTGGCCGCTGGTCTTTGATGTGTCGGAACATGGGAATCAAGAATGCAACTGTTTTACCCGATCCAGTCTTCGCCACGCCGATCACATCACGACCAGACATGATAGCAGGAATGGCCTGTGACTGGATAGACGTGGGACTCTCATAACCAAGCCTTTCAATCACGTCCAGAGCCTGCACACCCAGCCCACACTGAGACCATTTCTGTACCGGCTTTGGCACATCCACGCCACGCACTTTGATCCCATCGAGTTCCAAGCGTAAGCTGGCAGCTTCTTCATCGGTCATCTGCGCTAGGTTGGAAGGCTCGGTGTAGAACTTCTTCCGGAACGGCTCATACTCCACCTTTTCATGGTTGACGGTTGGAATATCCTTCTTCTTCTTCGCTTTATTGGCGATTGCGAGGAAATCGTCCGCATCGCCCTCGCCCACTGCGGTCAGATCAACGTCGTTTTCGTCACCGAACATGGCTTCCGGCTGTTGCTCCTTTGCCTTTGAGAATTTAGTACCAAACGTCTTCTTGGGAGGAGCAGATTCCGCCAGTTCCGACATGAAAGCATCCAGCGGATCGACATCTTCTTCTTCCACATCGACTTCCATGTTTTCGGCTTCTGCTTGGATGGGCGCATCATTCATCTCGACATCGCCATTCGTTTGTGGCACCTTTTCGCTGGACTGAGCCCGTAGCGCTTCGTTCTGCAAGCGCTCCTCACGCCGCTCTGCAGCAGCTCGTGCAGCAGCCGCATTTTCCTCTTCAGTCTCGCCGTCCTGCATGTCGTCGTCCTCATCCTCTGCGCCCATATCTGCGGCAACAGTCTCATCTTTACCATCCTCCAATGGTGGGGTAGGCAGACGCTCCAGCTTCTTCCGCGTCGATTCCTCTTCGCCGAATCCCAAGGTCTTGACTGCAGAAGGCTTTTCTGCATCCGCAACTTGCTTCGCTCCTAGTCCGAAGCCCCCGACATTACGCTTGGATTTCAACGTAGCTATTGAAATACAGGTTAGTAACGAACCATCATGTACCAAGAATATGAACAACTTACATGGAGCTGTGCTTAAGGCAGCTGCTGGTTTGTTAGCTTGCGCATGATTATTCATGGAGGAAAAGGTAGCGGACGCTTTGGCAATCTGGGGAACAGCGACATCGTTTCCTAATACTAAAGGTGCGCTAGGGGTTGGTGCTGCATTGCGCTTGATAGCCTTTGGATCAAACTTCCCAGCATACGGAGCAGGCGTGGCATCCGTGGTTGGCGTTACGGGAGACTTGGGGGAGCCAACAGCAGGCGACAGGCCGGACTTTCGATCGATCTCTTCGAGAATGCTTCGTGCTCCACCAGCAGCAGCGGCCTCTCGCTGCTTTCGCTCTTTCTCAGCTGCTTGCTTTTGTTTCCATGCCTCCAATTTGGCCAGTCTTTCGGCTCTCTTTTCGTCTTCCGTTTGAGCGGCCGGCGCAGGAGTAGATGGCTTAGAAGTCTGCCCAGGTTATAAGAATCAAGTTCATAGAAATAAAAACAACCATGGCGGAAATATAGACCTACGTCTCTCGACTTGGAGTCCAAATCTCTAGTGCGACTATCATCCCTTCTAGACTTGTGCTTCAAGTCAGCAGAATCGTCTGTCCGTCTCCGAGCCTTGTCGCGGGAGTCATCTCGCCTGCTTCGATAATCCCTGTCGCGACTTCTACGGCGATGATCCCGGTCATCGCCTCTATCTCTAGACCGGCGTCGATCGCGAGAACGATCTCTCCGATTAGATCGATAGCCACCATCATTTCGATAATCGTCTCGTCTGTCTAACGAGCGGTCACGTCGCCGGTACGATTCGCGGTCACGGTCACGGTCACGGTATCGCCTCTGTAAACGGAGAGAAAAACCATGTTAGGTCAAGAACCGAAAGACGGCTGGGGGAGAAAGAAAAAGAGGTGCAGCGGCAAAGTACATACCTCGGGACTGCGAGATCTGCGGTGACCCCTCCCATCCTCTCGCCTACTCTTCTCATACCGATCATCATCTCTGCGACTCCGTCTGGATGAAGAATATGTGCTGCCTACAGGTGATGGTGAGCGAGTATCCCCGTGGCGAGCCATTGTTGCAGGCCAACGATGAGTGAGTATTACTGAGACTCCAAAGAACTCGAGTACGTAGTCAGAATAGCAGGGCAATTTTTTTTAACTCGTCCCGTCGAACGTCTAAGGTAGTATTTTGTTGACAGGAAATCTGAAGTTAGTGCTCGACCGTGAGAAGATGGTGGCGATATAAGTGATTGGTTTCCGCACTTCGTCCATTTTACTATCTTCCACAGCATCAAGTCAAATGCCCGGCGACAGCTATCACGTGACGTAGATCGTTTGATGACATCACGTGGTAAGCTTTCCCCGTTTCGGCATTCCCCAAACGGCCCCGGACGCTACCTATCCTGGTTTCATGTGTGGCTAGGTATCTTGCGGCCAAGAGCTCCTGCTAAGCACTGGGGCAGTAGAGACCTGCCCATTCAATTCTGGTTCCTGGATCTTTCATCTATTCGGAACACTTTGACCTTTTTGCGCGCAATTCTGCTGCACGGTCCGATACCATGCGTTTCAATCTACTTCAACGCGGAGGGGGCATCCTCCGATACCTTCATCGCAGCGATGCCTTGGCTCGTCCCACTCGTATGATCAACACCAATGGTCATGTCCGCCGTATTTGTCTACCTATAAGCCGTTACTCGATCAACCCAGTCACGAAAACCACTCGTCCTGAGGGCATTCTATCACGAACTTGGAGTAGATCTTTTGCTACTGCCAATGATGCCGATGAAGACGTTAAACCGACGAAGTCGAAGAAAACGACAAAGACGAAGAAGAGCCGCAGCAAGAAGGCTAAATCGAAGGCCAAACCTAAGACGCGGAGAACCCTGACGGAGAAGCAGAAAGAAGCTAAGAAGGCGAAGGAATCGAGAGAGACGCTTAAGCAACTCAAGCTCACGGCCCTTGAACCACCAAAGAAGCTCCCAGAGTTCGCATGGAACCTGGCGGTTACGATGAAGATTGCAGAGGCAAAGGCCAAAGGCCTCAAAGGCAAAGAGGCATTCAAGGAAGCTACACAGATGGCAAAGTCGATCGGCTTCGACGAAAATGAGGTACACCGAATCTGTCTCCATTGAGGACCGTTTCCGTTGCTGACAGAACGTCGTACAGCGTGTCACTGCACAGGCCGAAGCCAACAAAGCTGCGAACGAAGCTGCTTATAACACCTGGATCAAATCATTTACTCCTCTCCAGATCAAAGAGGCCAATGCTGCCCGACGCAGACTCGCGAAGCTCAAGAATACTAGAGCATATCTCCTGCGGGACGACCGCCTGGTCAAGAGACCCCTCCCAGCTTACATGCGATACATGATGGAGCGAACCCAGGAGGGCGACTTCAAGTACATGAAGGTGGCGGATATCGCAGCTCGTGTGGCAGAGGAATGGAAGGGTCTGACAGGCGCAGAGAAAGAGGTATGATTGTGGTCTTCGCCTGCTATGTGATTGCTGGGTGAAGCTAACCTAACCCAATTAGAAATATCTGAAACAGGCCGAGATTGAACGTGAGCAATACCGACAACGCTGCCGCGAGGTATACGGCGAGGAACCCCACTCCTCATCCGCATCGGAAAGCCCTTAAAGAGGGCGAGGGGGTCGTAACGACATTCTGCCGCCATCAAGACATGGAAGAATTATGAATGATCCTTAAGTTTCAGTTCTGGGAACGGTCGTCCTTTGTATGGTTTCTGTGTACCGCTAGCTATCTTCACCCTGCTTTTTGCCTTTTATCCGGTGTCCCCTCGGTTCATGTTCTGATACACCTTATCCAGCTGTGTTACTTTGTACTTTATCAAGGTTCTCCTTATCTCACGGGTGTTTTATGTGTTCGGTTGCTGTGGATTTTAGACTGCTATCAATGAACTCTACCTTAAATGGGCAAGCCTTGCAGCACTGTATACACAATTGCACATGATGTAGGATGCTTGGGGTGATAGATTCCTTGTGATGTGGATTGGAATCATATACGGGTTCTCGGTAGGTGGACTGGATATCAGCTAGTCCACTTAGTTATACCAAGCTTCTAAGTTCGGAGCCCTTGGAATGAAGCCATGGGCGATCACTTCGCCCAGAGAACAGTTCATGTATCGTCCGGGTGATCCCAAGAGCCAGTTCAAAGCTCCTTTGCGTGAAAGCCTCAGGCAGGACATGATTCCTTGTTTGGCCAAGATTGGGACAAGTAGTCAAACATCTCCATGTTGCGAGAGCGTTCCTCCTCTCTTGCTTAAATAGGTAGTTGAAGAGCTGCTGGAGACAAATGTCCAATGCTCCTTCCGTTTCCCAAACGAAAGACTGTCAGCTGCTCTTCCTCCTCTCAAGACTTCTCGTGCCCCCGTCCCCCGTCCCCTTATTTCGTCTCTTCATCTCTTCATCTTCGGCTCAAACTCTACATCTACATCTATAGCTGTCTCAGAGTAACCTGATCTAGCAGTTTGAGCAATACCTTAGCTTGTGTGGAGATATTAGCAGAGGGAAAGAGCAAGCGTTGTTTCTCCTCGTCGGGTAAAATCTACCACTAGGTACTGTGCCCTCAAATAAACGGTCCCTTCCTTGAGAGGTTGCGGCTGGAATTCATCAGTCACTTCATTACGCCGAATAGTAACTGATGATGACTAGGATCCTGGAGTTGGCAACGAGTATTAAGCAGCACGCAAGCCTGGCTTGACCAATTCTCGCAGCCGAGGGAACAGGTCAACGGTCTCAACGGCCCCCTATTCAAATATGAGGACTTCGTATGCTGATCTCCGATTTCTCCCTGATCGATTCTACCCGGATGGCATGGCTTCAACAGATATCGAAGTATCCATGGACCCTTGGGTCCACCTTGCGAGTCCCCAACCGAGAGCCGCGTTTACACGCTACCCTGCCTATTACGCCAAGAGTATCGTTGTGGCGGTTGATGGCGCATGTTTGTACAACGGCAGGGCCCAAGCTCGTGCGTCCCTCGGCGTATATTGGGGCGCCAACAACTACTTCAACACCGGTATAGTCTTAGATCCCACGGACCGTCAAACGAACCAGGTGGCCGAGCTGCAGGCTTGTCTGGAGGCCCTGGGGAATTTAGACGATGTGAGCTGTGCACATCCAGCGGGCGATCGGCTGTCTACGGTCGTGATTAAGTCAGATTCGGAGTATATGGTGCGAGGCATAACGGAGTGGTTTCCCAGCTGGAGGAACCAGCGCTGGAGAAATTACCGCGGAATGCCAGTCACGAATCTTGAGTACTTCAGGATGATCGATGAGTACATCGAGGATTGGGAAGCCCAAGGTCTATCGGTCAAATTCTGGCTCGTACCTCGATCCATGAATCGGATGGCGGATGGTCTGGCAAAAGATGCACTTCATTGAAGGCCCTTACTGCCATGGTATGCCAGCAGAGCAAAACGCATGTTGGGTTGTGTTGTGTCTATTACTGTCTGCCTATCCTTGACGATGGGGGAAGGATCTGGATGCGTGATCTGAAACTGTATCAAATTATTGACCATATACACTTAGCATGCTTTTTTTCTGTCGTGTTATCTGAGGCTGCAATATGAGCGATGAATCAGTTTGTCGAATGCTACTTACATGGTGATGATCTTTCCAGAGCATAGAGGATCTACTGTATACATCATGATAGATCAGACCGGAGGTCTAAATTGCCTCACAATTAAGGAAGAGGTGTACCGGGATCAAACGATCCCAACAAACATCCGACGGATCCATCTTGTATCTCGGTCTATTCGTATCGTATGAGGATTCTCAATTGTATTCAACTGGCCTGCATAATGTTGCGTAGCGGGGATAACGGGAATGGCCGTGCAGTGCATCTGTTGGGACTTGGAAAGATTCCAGATTATGAGTCAACGCTGTGGGAGTCTAGTTGTGATGTGAACTGTGGACTAGATAGTTCTGGAGACGTAGGCTCGTTGCACCGGGTCAAACAGGGTGCAGATTGCAGAATGCAGATATGGAACTACCTAAGTAGTTTTGAGAGGATACTGCATAGATGAGGGTCTCGAACTGCGCGCGACGGCCTTTCATAGGCGGAGACCGAGTCTTTGCCTTCGATGCGGTGAAGGAGATGGACAACACCAGAATCCGCCAGCTTTCCTTTTTTTTCTTTTTGGAGCAAAAGCCTCGTTATCCGAGGATAAATGGTTATGGGGTGTAGGACGAATAGAAGGCCGCGGAATGGAGATCGATTCCATCCTGCTGCTGCCCGAAATGCCTTTTGGTTGCATGCATTAGGAAGTTACTACGAAGTGTGTCAGAAGTGTCAAGAAACTCAAGAGGGAGAGGGAGAAAGAAAAGACTCCGGAGTGGTCATGTGGGAGGTGTAATATCAATGCAATAGTAGGGACGACTCCTGGTGTTGTTCTGCTCTGACCGAAGATGTTGTTGTCGAACGTAGAGAAACAGAAAGACATTGTAATAACTAATAATAATAATCGTAGATTGTTTCATGGTTCTTCAGTGCCCGTTAAGCTGCTCCACCGGGCACCGAGTCCCAAGGAACGTGAGACCATGACAGTCCCCGTACCTTTGCTGGATGTATGAGTCTGACTCGAAACAACAACAACAAACAGACTGAAATTGTAGATAGTAGATACTCTATGCACATAATCCAGATATACAGTACGAGGTAGATCCCTATTTTGCGCATCTCACTGCTGCAATTGATTTCAATTCAATCCATTATTACAGTCCAAGAGGGGAGGACACTCGTTATCGATAACCAACATTCCATCTACATATGGGAACTAGGTACCTAGCCTAGGTGACTGGCTTGACCCTGCGTGACATTTTCTCTCTCATCTGCTCATCAGACATCAGACATCAGACATCAGACATCAGACATCAGACAACAGACAACATCAACCTACTGACTACCTTCAATATTCCTTTACTATCTTCCATGTATGGTCAGTTCGCTGGTGATTGGATCGACAGTCAATGCTAACTGGATGCCAATCATCCTAGCACTTCAACCTCGTTGGTCCCTCACTCTCTTCCCAGCCACCGCTTTGCAGATTTTATACTCCGTTCACCATAATCCTCCGGTCTCTGACTGGACACGCTGATCGACTGATTGAGAGAAAAGAAGAGAGAGGGAAAAAAAAAAAAAAGTTCATTCTGAAAAACGAGGAGGAAATCTTAAGACACTTTCTGTACGAACCACCAACGGTGATCCCCTCTCACAACAGCCAGAGCTGGACTACAGCTTACCTACAGAACACAATCCAGAGAACTACTGAGTACTTACTGTACACACACACACACACACACACACCTCTCTTAGTTGCATTCCTGCTGCAGCCCATCCATACCAACTTGGTCCAATCCGCGCTGGGAGATTGATCTTCACAAGACCATCTCCTCGAATCGCATTGCACTTTGCGCTCCTGCGTTCCATCTTTCCCACCGCTTCATTCACGGTCACCATCCTCATGGTCTTTCGTCACATCCCTGCTTCTCCGATTCTCGACTGAACTTTCTTCTCCTTCATTTCTGACTTCCTGTCTTCTCCTTGCTGGAACTTGACATTCCCTCCTCTTGAAGGTGGGATCCGATCGCATTTTCGCCCGCCGACTTGATCCCAAGCTGGACTTTTAACTACGGAGTACTTCGTTCTGCGTTCCACATAGTGCAACCTTGACCGGGACGCATCTCTTGTGTATCTTTTTACAGGGAGGCTTTTTTTTTCTTTTTCTTTTTCTTTTTTTCCCAACGCTTCAAGTTGATTTACGTCCTTGGTATCATTGTGAGTGCAGATATCTTCTCGAATTTGCGCTCGTCAGTTACAGAGACCCGATCATTTGCCTCTCCCCTGAGGCTTTGGTCTAGAGATTCACCCCGTATCCATGAGTGGACTATAGCGGAGTGACGGGTTACCGTTCGAAAACCGTTCACTGCGCAGGATGGATTCAATGCGCACGGCCCATCATGCTGGAATTACAACTATCTCGAAAGCCGGCTTACCCTTGTCCATCATGCACGATCTCATTGCCAGCCATGGAGCTATCGCCCAAGTCGACGAGAAGCCAGGCTGGTTTGGAAGTGAAGGCGGGAAGGGGGGAATAAGAACGTACCGCGCCGGTCCTCGCCAATCACCCTCTGAAAATGAGTATGAGAGGCGCATTGAGATACCCGAGATCTCAGAGCAGGTACACCTGTGCAATCTCGAACCATCAATAATGGGCGACATTACTGATAGGCTATATTATATAGGACCGGTACAATTGCCAGGAGCTTGTTCTATCAGCAATACTAGTTTTGGATGCTTGTCTCGACACATTAGATCCACCAGACTACGATCATCCCCCACCCTCCTACGAGGATGCCATCAACGAGTTACCTCCTGGTTACGATACGCTGTCACCGCTAGCACACCAGAAGAATCTAATCCATGACTCTGCGCCAGAAAAGGACACACGAGAAACCGATGACAAAGCCAGCTCCCGACTCATTGACTTCGACACTCCTCACGGTATCCGAGAGCACAAACCAAAGAAGAAGAAGAAGACTGGAGGTGGAGGCGGCGGCGGCGGTGGAGGAGGGGCACCACCACCACCACCACCACAAGAAAGCTCACCGCCCCCGGAGGATAACCCTGATGAGCAGGTCAACGATGGAGGCGATGGAGGAAATGACGGCGGGGATCCTGGCGACGGGAACAATGGCGGAGACGGTAACGGTGGTGACGGCGACGGGGGAGGCGATGATTGGGATGCCTGGAACACCACTGGCAGCAAGAAAGATAAAAAGAAGAAGAAGAAGGAAGAGGAGGAGCGCCTAGCGAAGGAGGAAGAGGAACGGAAAGCGAAAGAAGAGGAGGAAGAGAGAGCGAAGGCAGAGGAGGAAGAGAAGGCCAAGGAGGAGGAACGAAAAGCGGCAGAAGAAGCGGCCGCGGCAACTGCCAATGCGAATAACCTCAGCTGGGCTGACGAAGCAGACGGAGGTGGTGAGGACACATGGCCGAGCTTTGCCACTGTCGGAAAGAGCAAGAAGAAGAAAAAGAAGGGGAAGGTATGATACTCCTCCACTACGGTTCAAGAAGCCTCCTAAATTAATGTCTTCATAGGAAGCTGATCCACCTGCCGCCGAGGCACCTTCAAATTCCTTCCAGGACATCAATTTGAATGATGGTGTACCGCAGTTGGATCTAAGCCTCGATCCCCCTCCTGCAAACAATGGTGGTGTCGGTTTTGGTTTCGGTGGCTGGGGCAAAGATTGGAGCACCGGAAGCACACCTAGCAAATGGGGGCTGGACTCGCTCTCTATGAATGACAACGGCAACTCCGATTCTGCCAAGGATACTAACCCCTGGGGGACCATTAGCAACAATAAAGGCTCATCAAACCCCCCTAGTAGATTCGATCTCGGAGACTTCGGAAGCTCGACAGGTGCCGGGCAGAACGAACCCCCTTTTGTGGAAGAGAAGAAGACGGAAGATGACGTCTGGCCTGATTTCACGGCGGTTAGCTCCAAGAAGAAGAACAAGAAGGGCACTTTGGAGGAACTTCCCAAAGAACCCGAGCCTGAGCCCGAACCTGAGCCGGTAGCAGCTCCTGCGCCAGAACCTGAAAAGGACAGCAGCTTGGCTGGTCTTTCTAAGAAGGAGCGGCGTAAGGCGAAGAAGGGGCTCACCCAGGTTGTCGAGGAGCCAGCAGCTCCTGAACCCGTGATTGAAGAACCCAAGCCCAGTGACCCTGTGGTGGATTTCAACGACCAGAAGGAGGAAAAGGCTTCTGAGATGGCTGATGACAATGACTGGGGATGGGGCGTTTCAACCAAGAAGAGTAACAAAAAGAAGAAAGGGCTTCTCGAAACGATCGTCCCCGCGGAGCCATCTGCCCCTCCCAAAGATAACTGCGACAATTCTTGGGGGGTGTCTGGTAAGAAAGACAAGAAGTCCAAAGCGGACACCCTTGTCGAAGAGACCCTACTGGTTATGGAGGAAGCACCTCCACCTGAGTCTGAGCCCGCGCCTGAGCCAGAACTCGAACCGGAACCTGTCGTTGAACCTGAGCCCGAACCCGAACCCGAACCTGAGCCTGAGCCGGAACCTAAACCAAAAGCACCTGCCCTTCCAGATGACCCCCTTTATAACAATTGGGCAAACCTATCATCCAAAGACCGGAAGAAGCGAGAAAAATCACTGATGAAGAAGGGCCTACCTATTCCCGGCAAGGATATCATAATTCCTGCGGAACCTGAACCTGAACCCGAGCCAGTACCCGAACCAGAACCTGTTGTTGAACCTGAACCCGAACCCGAACCTGAGCCTGAGCCGGAACCTGAACCAAAAGCACCTGCCCTTCCAGATGACCCCCTTTATAACAATTGGGCAAACCTATCATCCAAAGACCGGAAGAAGCGAGAAAAATCACTGATGAAGAAGGGCCTACCTATTCCCGGCAAGGATATCATAATTCCTGCGGAACCTGAACCTGAACCCGAGCCAGTACCCGAACCAGAACCTGTTGTTGAACCTGAACCCGAACCCGAACCTGAGCCTGAACCTGAACCGGAACCTGTTGTTGAACCTGAACCCGAACCCGAACCTGAGCCTGAGCCGGAACCTGAACCAAAAGCACCTGCCCTTCCAGATGACCCCCTTTATAACAATTGGGCAAACCTATCATCCAAAGACCGGAAGAAGCGAGAAAAATCACTGATGAAGAAGGGCCTACCTATTCCCGGCAAGGATATCATAATTCCTGCGGAACCTGAACCTGAACCCGAGCCAGTACCCGAACCAGAACCTGTTGTTGAACCTGAACCCGAACCCGAACCTGAGCCTGAACCTGAACCGGAACCTGTTGTTGAACCGCAGCCTGAGCCGGAGCCGGAGCCCGAACTGGAGCCAGAACCAGCAGCACCTGCCTTTCCAGATGACCCTCTCTATGATAACTGGGCAAACCTATCATCCAAAGACCGCAAGAGGCGGGAAAAATCTCTAATGAAGAAAGGCCTTCCCATTCCTGACAAGAATTATATGCCATCTGCAGCACCCGTGCCTGAACCAGTCCCTGAGCCAGAACCTGTCGTCGAACCAGAACCTGTCGTCGAACCAGAGCCTGTCGTTGAACCAGAACCTGTCGTTGAACCAGAACCTGTCGTTGAACCAGAACCTGTCGTTGAACCAGAACCGGAACTGGAACTGGAAGCACCTGCCTTTCCAGATGACCCTCTCTATGATAATTGGGCAAATCTATCATCCAAAGACCGTAAGAGGCGGGAAAAATCTCTAATGAAGAAAGGCCTTCCCATTCCCAATAAGGATTATATGCCATCTGCAGCACCTGTGCCTGAACCAATCTCTGAGCCAGAACCTGTTATTGAACCAGAACCAGAACCAGAGCCGGAGCCGGAGCCGGAGCCAGAGCCTGTTATTGAACCAGAACCGGAACCGGAAGCACCTGCCTTTCCAGATGACCCTCTCTATGATAATTGGGCAAATCTATCATCCAAAGACCGTAAGAGGCGGGAAAAATCTCTAATGAAGAAAGGCCTTCCCATTCCCAATAAGGATTATATGCCATCTGCAGCACCCGTGCCTGAACCAGTCTCTGAGCCAGAACCTATTATTGAACCAGAGCCAGAGCCAGAGCCGGAGCCAGAGCCTATTGTCGAACCGGAACCAGAACCGGAACCAGCTCCAGAGGTTGTGCAGGAAGAACCCGTTGTAGAGGAAAGCTGGGGAATATGGAGTTCCTCGAAAGAGAAGAAAAAGTCCAAGAAGAACAAGATTGCGGATGACCCTCCGCCTCCCGCACCCACGCCCCCATCGTTGGGGCTGGATCCTGAGCCTCCAATTCCTGAGGATGTCGCAGAAGATCTCCTATGGGATGATCTCAGATTTTCCAAAGGAACTCGAAAAATGGAGGAAACTCCCGCCAAGGCTGGCAGGGGATTCTGGGCAACGCTTGGTGCCGCTACAATGGGCACGAAGCCCAGGGTCACCAGGAAGAATTCGGAGGAGAAACCGAAAATCATCGAGGCCGCAGAGGAATCTGAGCTGGAACACGATCATATGCCTATACCTGCGCCAGATCCACCGACGAACTTGCTTCTAGACATTGGGGATGCACCCCAGCCTGAGGCGCCTGAGGCGCCAGTCGTTGACGAGCCAGCCGCGCCAGCCGCGCCGCCAACAAAGCCCTCTGTTGTCACATCCAAGACCAAGTCATCGGTCAAACTCTCGGTCGCTGAGCGTATTAAAGCCCTTGAGCAAGCGAAGAAAGAACGGTTGAGAGCAGAAAAGGAGAAGGCGAAAGCGGCAGAAGCAGCACCCCCTCCAGAGCCACCGCAAGAGGAACCTGTGATAGAAGTAGCTCCTGAGCCCGTGGAAGAGCGGAAGATCTCGCGAGAATCTGTGCCTGGAAGCTTCCCGGATGCTTTTGATGACTACTACTCAGAACCCCCGCCGGTGGCCCCTGAACCTGAGCCAGAACCCGAGCCGGAGCCGGAACCTGAACCTGAACCTGAACCTGAACCTGAACCTGTGCGCGAGCCCGAGCCCGAGCCCGTACCGGCTCTTTTGTCAAAGAAGGCTGAGAAGAAGAAGAAGAAAAAGGGAAAGATTGTTGAGCTTGTACCTGAGCCAGCACCTGAACCTCCGGCACCAGAGCCCGAGACAGAACCAGAACCTGAGCCCGAACCTGAAGCTACACGTGAACTCGAGCCCGAGCCTGCCCCAGTTCCGTTGCCAAAGACTGAGAAGAAGAAGAAAAAGAAGGCAAAGGCACTTGAACCGGAGCCTGTGCCTGAGCCGCCCGCCCCAGAGCCAGAGCCTGAGCCTGAGCAGAAACAGGATCCCGAACCGGAGCCAGAAGCTGAACCCGAGCCAGAGCCAGAGCCTGTGGATGAGCCGAAAGCAATGAAGAAGCCTAAGAAAGCCTCCAAATCCAAAATGGTCGAGGCGACCAGGGAGGTCCCACCAGCCGAGGACGTCCCTCCTGATGCTGAAGCGCCTGATGTCGTCGCTAGTAATCCTCCTACTCCCCCACCTGAGCCTGTCGCCCGTGAGAAATCGGTCAAGAAGGATCGTGCTCGCGTTGAGCGCGCCCCTGGTGTTGGCTCGTGGGGCTTCTGGAATGCTACCCCTGTGCCCAAAAGATCGGCTCACAAGGAGGGTAGGTCGAGCCGAAGAGAAGCCTCTCCCGATGAAATGATCAGGTCAAAGTCGACCAGGCATTCAAGGCGCAAGGAGGCGGATAACGAGGGAGAGAAGTCGTCGGCCTCTGATAAGGACAAACGTCGAGAGGTTAAAGACAGCCGAGCGGCCGCCTTTTCCAATTTCATTCTTGGTGCTCCTCCGCCGCCGACCAGAACAAAGTCATCACGCAGACATGGTGCCTCTGCATCTAAACATGCATCTAGGCGACCATCTTTCGAGATGGAAGACGCCCCGTTCCCAACGCCCCCACCGGATGACAGGCCCGAGATGCCAGACAAGGCCGCAAGGATGATGGGGCCCGGTTCATCGCGCCACAGGGAAAGGCCGCGCGGAACGCGGAGAAGATCTAGTAAGTCACGGTCGTATACGAGCATTGCCGATGTCGTCTAACATGCTTGGCTCTCAGGTGTTCGTGATCCGTACGCTGTCGATGACGATATCATAATGGTGGACAGAGACGACGTGGATGGCCTCGAAGACTCGAGAGAGCTTCGGCACTCTAGGAAAAGGTCTAGTAGGAAGGTAAGTCAACTCCACGTTGTTCAAACTGCGTCGCGGTTTCTAACCTCTCTTTCTCTCAATAGGCAAGGTCCAGACCGGATGAAATGGATGATGCGGTCATGGTTGAGCCTGATCAAATGCCAGACGTAGTGTCTGGTCCTGATGACATTGCCTTTGTTGAGGCGCCTTCGCGGGAACGGCGCGTAAAGCGCTCTAGTACCATGCCGAAGAAGCAGGAATCAGGAGGTCTCATGGGCCTGATTGAATCTCTGCGCAGAAACACGCGTCCCGAGATGCCAGAACGTCGCAAGTCACGTTCTTATCGTGATGACGACGTGAGATACATGACGGAGCCGGAGCGCGACGAGTCCCGACGTGTGAGACGGGAAGAGAGAAGACGACGCTCCGTCCGACCTGATGTCGATGCCGATGGCTTTGTCACCGACGGCGGTCCGGTTGGGGGCGCGCCGGCTGCCGACATAGAAGAGATTGAGGCTCGGAGAGCAGCACGCAGGGGCTACCGCTCCTCTCGCCACGCGCCGTCCGATCAGTACCGGGAGGACGAGGCTCGCGAAATTGAGGAGAGACGGGCCAGGCGACGGGAGCGGGAAAAGGCCCGCGAGCGCGAACTATACGAAAGACAAGTCCGCGAAGAGGAGGAGAGAGAAGAACGTCGGCGTGAGGAAAGGCGAGCGCGCCGCGCCGCGCGCGAAGCACAGCGTGCCAAGGAGGAACAGGAGGCTCGGGAGGCGGAAGCATTGGCCGAAGCCAAAGCGGCAGAGCGTCGGGAGCGGAGACGACAGCGGGAGGAAGATATGTATAACAACCCGGCATACGCTCCCAGATCCAAACGGCGGCCTCCACCTGCCTATCCCTATGAAAGGGCCCCGGAAGATTACTATCTTGACCCCCAACCAGATATGGAGCCGCGGCCCCACCGATCCTACCGATCCGGCGACGCAGGCGAAAGATCGAGACGGCGGAGATCGAGAGCCCCGGACCCGATGAGGCCGCCGCCCATGATGTCCGGCGGACGCCGGGACAAGACCACATCCTGGGTTGATTCACAGGCATTCGAGCCTCCCGAACCGCCCCCAGTTGTACCAACAATGCTCGACGAGCCCCTACCCCCAGGTGATCATAACGCGCACTCAATCTCATCTGACGAGGAGGCCCGTCGTGTGTTGCGCCGACGGGCACGGCGTCGAGCCAGATACCCCGGTCTCAATGATGACGAGATCGAGGACCTGCGCGCCAGGAAGCGCGAGGGTCGTGTGAAGAGCAGCTCGGGCAGCGGCGATTACGAACGGGATCGCGGGATGAGATCATACGACGCCCGCTATCCCCCTATGCCGCCGCCCACCTCCGGCGCGAAGATGTCCAGCTGGTTCAAGAAACTGACCAGTCTGTGAAAACCGATGATATATAACAAATAACCGACAGTGGATATTGAGACGAGCTCTTGGCTTGACGAATTGATAGAGATGATTTGGAATGAATGAACTTTGGATGACAGTATGATACCGATGATGATATGTGACCTTTTTGATCTCCCACTCACCCAAGCCTGTGATGTTTTGATGTATGACTAGCGCTGCAATTCATTTTTTACTCTGCTTGACCCTTGATATTTGACATTCTTCTCTGCAAGCGCTGAGATTGCAATGATTCGAGAGTGTGATGGAAACATGGGAACTCTTTGGCTCTATACGCAACAGATCTAGTCTTACAGAAACGCTATTTCAGACAAATGATGACCAAGATAATACAATGAGATCGGAAGCATAGACAACGGCCCACCTAGCAAGGCCACCGGACGATCAGATAGCAGCTTCATCTCCCGATCTCCCAACTTCCTCCCGCGGACTCAATCCGTGTTTTTCTCGCCGTCTGTTCTCCAGGTAGAAGCGGCCTCCCTCATACATGCTCAGGTACATGCTCAGCGAGATGGCCGTCCAGCCGGCTCGGATGGCACCGCCCTTGAACAGTCCCCTAATGCCTTCATTACGAAAGATCTCCGTGCCCACCGCAAGCGTCCCACGACTCGCCTTCTTCTGAGCGTCACCACCGCCCGCATTCCCATTCTCCCCGTTCAGACTCGCAGACAGCATCACCCGCGTCTTGATCACATCAATCGGCGTCGTGACCACCGCTGCAATGGTCCCAGACACCGACGCAGACATCCCCGTCAGCACCGCCCTCTCCAGCACGGGATTCCACCGCTCCACGTCCTCGCCCCGGGCATCCTTCCGCCGCTGCCTCGCCGCCACCACGCGCGACCGCACAAACTCGAAGATCGGAAATTGCAGCCCCGTAAACGGCAGGTTCCGCCCCACCAGCGCCGTGTACCCGCTCCACAGCTTCCACGGCCGCCGCCGGAACCGCGAGAGCACCTGCACCATCGCGTGGCGCGCCTGCTGCCGCTGTGGGCCCTCGCCCGGGTGCAGGTCCACGACCTGCGCGTTCTGCTTGAGCACCTCCGCGGGCGTGAGCATCAGGCACGCGATCATTTCGGCGGTCGAGGACGAGATTGCGTGGATGACGGGCGGCGGGAGCGAGTGCGTGAAGGGCAGCCGGTTGTGGTCTGGGTGGTGCGTGTGCGTCGAGGAGTTGGTGAGCGTGTATTTGACTGCTTCGTACGTCGTGAAGAAGGTTCCTGCTGTTTCCCGCCCCTCCTCCACATCCTTTTTAGTCGGGGATCCTCACACGGTTCCGCGGCGGAGAAGAGCAGATCGGGGTGGGGGGACAACATACACGACGGTATCGTGGAGAGAACTACGCTCCATACCCCCTGGTATAGGCCTCGAAAGAGGACGTTCCGGCGCACTGCCCCCGTCCGCGCATCCTTGTATAGCCGGTCGTAGTCGGGCGCTTGGATTCGGGTCTTGAGGGTATCCACCGGGTAGACGACCAAGTCCACGGTCACTGCAGCGAAGGCTCCGGCCTAGATTTGGGTTTCAGCGCGCGTCCAGGCACGGGTTCAGGCACAACTTCTAGGTAGATGTCGTGATCGTCGTAGTGCCCCTGATGTCTATGACGTATCGAGGGCACGATGCGACGGAACTTACTATCCAGATGTCGAAGTTACTGTTATACATGAGGAGCGAAGGTGGGATGGTCTATGATGAGTCTATATAATGCAGTCAAGGAGAATCAGAGCAGAAGAATGGATATTCCGAACCACATAATTCATAAGAGGAAACACTTCAGTCGACAACTGTCGCACTGCTTGAGGATGTTCTAATTATCTTATCTAATCGGGTTATCGATTGCATCGATAAATGATGAGATCATTATGGTTCACGTGCGCAGCGGTACCCTAGCACAGGTTAGGGTATGTTGCAGCTTGCAGCCTCAGGCATCGAAGAATCCCAGGTTGATAATAGGGTTCGGAAATGGAAGTTTCCAAACATTGATAAACAGGTGGATGAGCGTACGCTCGTCCAAGGGAATCCTCTCGGTCGTACCCGTAACTCTATTCATCAATTTGGAATAAGCAAACAGGAAACATATTAACATTCAGATAGAAGAAGTTTTCCCTGCCTACGCCATAAGGTCATGCAAGTCCCAGAATTCCCCACAGTTCGAGTCAAATCATCAACAGCCAAGCCACACCCTTATTTGGTGGTCTCTCCAGGCAACAGATTTCCCTTCACAGCGAACATCTTGCCGGTCGTAGCCGAAACAAAGCTGTCGACCTGGCGCGCGTACTGATCCACCTGCCGGCTGTTCAGCATGCTGTCCAGGCGGCTAGGCTCCTGAGGCAGCTTGAACAGCCGCTGCCACTCATCCTCGGGCAGAAGTGGCTGCTTGAGCGTTGCGCGGGTGGCATTCTCTTGCTTGCGCTTTTGTTGCCAAGCGCTGATTCTCTGCTGCTCACGCGCGAGCGAGCGCTGGTAGTACTGGAAGTTGTTGGTCTCGGTGTGGTGGGTCTCCATGCTGTCAAGGAGAAGGTCGCAGTTCTTCTCCAGGAAGGGGTCGATGCTGAGGGTAAGGTTGTCATAGTTGGGAGCGAGGATGGTCGAATTGACAAATGGGCCGGACTCCAGAGCGGCCAGAGAGGGAGGAAGCTCCGTAGGAGTCGGGATGTTGGGGGTCTGAAGCTGGTGGATGAAAGAGGTGATCAGGTGAGAGTTGTGGATCTCGACAGGAAGCTCAACGAAGATATCCTGGTATCTCAGGTTGGACTTTTGCAGCCTATCACACCGTTAGTATTCAGATCGATTCCAACGAATCGCGTGATTGCGATATGCCAACGCAAAAAAGAATATGAACGTACTCCTCAGAGGTGAACTTGTTCTCCTTGAAAGCAGTCATGAACTTGGGAGACAGACGGAAGGCTCTCAGGCTCAGGCTTCCCTGAGAACTGCGGCTGACGTCGTGCACAAGAGCCACTGTCCGCTCATTCATCTCCTTCTGGTAAAAGAACTGGTTCTCGACAACGTTCATGTTGACAAAGTTGCCCATGTTGGCGCTCGTGTACCAACCCACGTTGTTCGCATCGACATTAACCTCCCGAAGCATACGGATCATCTCCGCCTGGTAGGCAGCGTTGCCCTTGGCGCGAGGAGCGGCGGCAGCAGGGTTGGTAGGAGCATTCTCGAAGTGCGACTCGGAAGGCACCTCGAGGACGGGGAAAGGAAAGCTGTTCGTGATCTCCAGGGTTCCACCAACATCCATACCAACGATCGAACCGGTCGCTGTCGTTGGGAAAGTCTGAGAGCAGTGCTTGATAATCTTCATGACCACCTATAAACGCGTCGAATGAGCATGATTTCTCCCTTTCATCCACCCTGCTTGAGGCGGGGTGGGTTTTTTCTGGGGCAAATGAACATACCAAGGCCTCCACCTTGACGGCCGTAAGGGGGGTTTCTTTCCTGTCGGATGCCATCAGTCGAAAGATCTCAAAGCAATATTTCCAGCGATATGAATACTTACTCCGCCATTTTGATGCTGCTGCTCTAGGAAAGCTTTTGACGCCGACGATGGTTGATAGACGGCGATGGTTTGTGTGGATGGAATTGAACAATTTCCCACCGCCTAAGGCCATATACGGTTAGCGTGCCAAGACACCGTCTGGAAGATATACAGACAGCGACAACAAAGTTGTGATGCTCCATGACCTTGGCTTTTTCTCTGTATAATCGAGTTGATATCGTTGTAGATATCACATTTTGACGATACGCCTTGGCTAATCTGTATGACCAACATGGGCCTACTTCTACCCTTGAAAGTATTGGCCTTCCACACCATGAGGATTAACTATCGCTTGTAATCGGCAGGGACCCTCAAGTAGCATTCTATTTCGTCCGAACTGCCCCTCTTATCAATAATAACTTCCTGTTGTACTTCCAGTCTACTATCTATATACCTAACGATCAGATTCGCAGCTCCAGTCTCAACCTCATAACAATGCCCACAGAAATCCTACAGTACGGAGACCACAGCCTCCAAACCATCACTGTCTCTACCGTATCGGAAGACCCGAGCACAGGCTACTGGGTGATGTACACATCCACCACCTCGCAAGCACGAAAAGCGCTCTCATTAATAGCTAGCGAATCAGACTAATCCACGGCGGAGCCTGGCGAGATCCAACCCAGACAGCCTCCAACTACCTGGCCCCTGTCGAGTCCATCCTCACCGCATCCCCAGAGTACACCTCCACGACGCTGCCACACATCGCGGCCTTCGCTTCCATCGAGTACAGACTGAGTCCGCATCCAAACCACCCCCAGGATCCCAAACATACCCAACCAAGTGAATACCGAAATGCCCAACACCCCGACCACCTGCGCGACGTACAGGCCGCTCTGGCTCTGCTGCAGCAAAAGTACAAGTTCGGGAGCAGATATATCCTCGTTGGTCATAGCGCCGGCGCGACATTGGCTTTTCAATCGGTGATGGGTGCATTGCAGGGCGGTGCGGCCCCGGCAGCCATCCTGGGAATGGCGGGTATATATGATCTACGGCTTCTGCGGGATACCCATCGGGCTATCTCGGCCTATCAGGAGTTCATCGAAGGGGCCTTTGGGTCCGATGAAACGCTGTGGGATGCCGTGTCGCCGGCTACTGTTGAGGGCTCTGGTGGTGTCGAGGGCGGGTGGACAACTGGGCGTCTGGCTGTGTTGGCGCGGTCGTCGGGCGATGGGCTTGTGGATGCTGGGCAGCAGGAAGCAATGAAACGGGTCCTTGGTCGCTGGGAACATGGAGGTGGCAAGAGACGGGTGGAGACGCTCGCCCTTGAAGGTGACCATGATGATGCCTGGGAGAAGGGTGACGAGCTCGCGAGGGCGATTGCGTTCACGCTTGCTGAGCTCAATGATTTGTAGATGTGTTCGTAGTGTTGTACAATCTTACAGTACCATGCATATAACGAGCTGCTCAGTGTAATCACTCTGGGTTTTTGATGCAATACAACAACTACGGAGGTATACCTCGCTGGCGGTTGATCCTCGTCAAACTTCAAATCCTTGCGCTAATTCGATTGATGTCCCGAGGAGATCCTAAAATAAAGGCAGGATAGAAAAGTAGTACACATTAGAAGGGAGAAAGGCCGGCCGTTTTCAAAACTCGCCAACGCCTACCCAGTGTTCATCATCATCATCGAGAAATACATGGAATCAGCAAATGAGAACTCCGTCATACGCCTGGTATTTTGGGTAAACCCAAACTGATAAGAAAAAAAGATAACCCACGTCCCCCAGGAATGCAATGCGGAGAAGCGCCGATCGTGGAGTACGACGGGAGATATCAAAATCAATGAGGCATGACACACGGTCAGTTGCCGAGGTCCATACGTCCCGATGCAGCGTCGGCGAGGACCTTTTCTCCCTTGGTCTCGGTGCGCTGAGCCTCCCCCTCAGAAGACTCCTCATCATCATCCTCAACCTCGTTGTCTTCCACGTACTTCACCTCGACGCCAGCTTCGTTCAGACGGTCTCTCATCTGTTCGCGGTAGCGATCCTGCCAGCGCGCAAGAGCAGCACTGGCATGAACGCGGAACCCATAGATGCGGGGCTCATAGCGACGGATGCTCTTGGGAGGAACCAAGTTGGTAAACACTTGGAAGAAGATGCTGTGGAAGGAAGAGCCAAAGTAGGCGCCATCAATGGAGGAATGACGGGAGGACTTGGGGTTGTAGATGTCCTCGCACTTGGGGCAGTAAAGTCTGACCGTGCTCATGTTCGCGATATCGTGCAGGCCCATCGGAAGGAGGTGCTGTCCTTCGCACAGGACACGCGGGCACTTTCCGAAGTCTCCGTTCTTGTATTTCTCGGCCTGACACGCGACAGATGTGTTAGCTGGCTAAAATAATCATTCCGTAAGATACAACGCGGACATACCATCTTTCCGAGACCACGAGTAGTAACAATGTATCTGGCGTGGACAAGGCCATAGAGATGGCGCGCGGATTTCTCAATTTGCTCACGTAGATCGTCATCCGCATCGAGATCGAAGACGTCGGTCACCAGGTCCAGCGCATACTGGTAGTAAGGAACTTCGGTATTGAGGCCAGTAAGGTTGAAGCGATCAGTCAGATACTCCTCGTCGATCTCGCAGAAATATTCGTTCCCACGGGAGGAAATAAACTGGAAAGTAAATTGTGAGCAATGAGCACTGGAGGGAAGAGGAGGAATCGGTCCATAAAAGCAGAGACTCAGGAACCTTTCGGTCGACTCGTTGGCACGGTCATCGACGTGAAGCTCCTGGTCTTCGGTGGAGGTTTCAGGCATGATGGAGGTGTGGGTTTTGAGGATAGGATGCGGATCATTCAGTGAGATGAAGCTGGTGCGCAAAAGTGAAATGGTGAAAGATTTGAGTCCCTTATGAGCGGCTCAAATTCCTCACCAGCCGCAATGTCCATTGTCACCAAGATTCACTTGCAACAGCACTGTGCGCAGCCGCTGCCCCGTCCCCTCATCCTCAACTCCCAAGCCGCAATCACCCCTCCCACACTGAAAAAGTACAGAATGACTGCCAAACTTACCCAATCTCTCCAGTAACTAGTATAGTCACTGTCAGTCTCGCTGTTGAAATCCTCCATCATGGTTCCGGGTAGATTCGAGGAAAACGGGGGAAAGAGGTGGTATTTATTTTGCTCTGCCTGTAGCAGTTCCTGAGAGGGTGCTGGGATTGAACAGCCGCAGAGCAACACAGCTCTCAGAACCGTACAGCGATGAGATTATCTTCTCAGAGCATAGACAATTCAAGGTCTGGAGAGAAACTGCAACCGTGCAGATGTGTGAGTAGGAGCGATATAGGATGATCAGCAGATAGTCAGTCAGTAGCTTCAGTGTGTGTCTCTTCTCCATTTCGTTCAAGTGTTATCAGTGGATCGCACTCTTCTGGTTAGCGCGGGGTCGGCGGTGAACATTCTGCTGGATCTACATCACCGCCTGCATTATTCTCCAGTGCTGTATAAAGGGATTGTCTGTGGGTTAAAGTGCAACTCTGTGGTCTATAATAACTAGTAATGATATGCTTCACATGCCCCAAATGATTTCAAAGATATCACTTGCACTATTCAATCCACCTCAATGCTGATGGCACAGTCACCAGATCCAAATGCTATATACAAGAAGGCCAGAAGCTTCTGTTGAGGACGATATGTACAGAAAGAGAATCAGAATTCAATCTACCACTTGAGCCGTTGCAGTCCTTTAGAAGGTGGGGTTAGCATTCTTGAGAAGCTGCTCGAAGTAGGCCTGTGTTTCGAAAAGTCAGTACAGCCACAATTGCAACAGGATTCCTTTGGGAACATACCTGGAACCAGGTTCCGGCCTCCGGGGCAGGTTTCAGGGCGTCCTCGAGACCACAGTGGGCATCGTAGCGGGTAGCAGAGGTGACCGAAGTGCCATCGCTCTCACCACCGGGCTTAACCCAGACAAAAGCATCTACCAGCTCATCTCCAGTCTCGGTGGTAGGGCGGACTCCGAAGCCAGTGTCAACAACGTTGCACCAGTCACCCCATTCGATCTGTCCGGTTGGCTGCTTTCCGTTGCGGCCTGGAAGAAGTTCTCAGGTTAGAGAAGTCAGGCTAGTATAATCGAACCAATACTAACCGGTGTCAACAATGAAATGCGCGTCAAATCCGGCACTGGCCAGCTCAGGAGCGAAGTTGTTGATGTAGCTCTTCTCGTCGCAAACCTCGTTTTGCGAAGTATATGACGGGCATGTCTTGGCAATGAAGGCGTTATAGTTAGCCACGTTGGTCGCGAGACCACGCACAGACTTGGGCGAGCCGGCATCCTTGTACACGCCTGCGAATAGTTTGGCCGCTGGGCCGATGTTGGCGGGCCATCCCAGCCATCCGGCGTGTCCTGCACATCGCAATAAGCAAAGGCCTCTAGGAGATAGTCCCTTCTAAATAGTAACGGTCTACATACCAGCATCGAGATACATCGAAACGTTGGGAGCATCAAGAGTCTTCAGAGCATAGTTGGTGCACTCCTTGTAGGCATCCGCGGCATTGGCACACTTGGCCACATTCAGATTCGTGACCAGATTGGCCAAACTGTCAGGCTCTGTTTGATGGTCAGGCGTGAAAACATACTTCGTCCGGTTCCGGCACAGACTTACCAATGATGAGGATGATCTGAGTGTCCGAGTAGTTGTCAATGTGCTTGCGGATAGAATCAATGTATGCCTTGTACTTCTCGACACCGCCGTCGGCAATGAGATACTCTCCGTTACTGGCCAGGGCGGCGCAGTCGCGATCAGGAAGATCGTAAACAACGAAGATACCGGCAATTGGAGGGCTGGCTCCGGCATCATTCTGCGCTTTGATGCCCTCAAGGTATTCGCCCATCGATGGGACCTTAGCGGCCGTGTCACTGATTGTGTCTGTGTTAGAGACGGATTCATGTGCAATTTTCATTCCAGAATCAGAACTTACAGCCAGAGGAAGGATGGGACCTTCGCCGCAGCGCTTGCCTGCGCGACCAAAGAGCCAGTCAGGGAAGGAATCGCAAGATTTTCCACCTCGGACGAGTAGTACGGGTTGGTGTACATCTGATAACCCTCGAAAGGATTACCACCAGACGCGGTAGGGGCAGGAGAGCTCGTGGCGCCAGTTGACGAGGTGGGAGTGCCAGTTGCTTGAGGCAGAGCCCTCACTGCAGAGAACAGCAGGGGGGTAAGAGTGAGAAGAGACCGCATATTGACGGGAGGCGTAGTGTAATCGACTTCGAAAAGACTCAGCTGAAGTGTTCGTTAGACCTTTCGATGTGTCAAAAGAAACGCTTGCTGGTTGAAGTGAAAGCAGATCCCGAGGGACTTCGAGATCAATTTATATCCATTCTCGTCGACACATTCTCACAGCATCCCCTTCGGTCTATTGCCATCTGTTGGAGAAGACACAGGAGCTGAGTGTAGAGATTCGGCTAAAACCGACATACAAGCGGAGTTAGTTGCGTGAAGAAAGGCTTCTGGACAAGACATATGCTATGCTTGCCTCACTACTCTTAGTATCAGCTAGGAACGGCATCGTCATTTACCAGCTCCTCTTCACCCATTATGGACGTTCCGTCCCTGAAAAGGCTCGGAACTTGATGATCGTCATAACAGCAGAATGCGAGATGATGCCCCAGGAGTTATCAGGACTCCCAGATGCTCTCCAGCGTCTAGTTCATCCCCGTGCATTGAACGGGGTCATGACCTTTAGCCGGACTGAGCACGGTAACTGCCATGCCGCATCCTCAGATGTCTAGCCTTAAGATTCCTCATGCACACTCCAAATATCCAGGTACAGTCGCCGGACACATCTTGGCGGCATTGACAAAACAACCACAAGCTGTACGGAGTAGGGTACGTAGACAGACAACGAGAGGCCGTGCACATGTCCACGGGAAAACTGTCGGACGAAATGAAGCAAAGTAACGAAGGAGGATAATGTGAATGAGCAGAAATGCAGAAAATCGCGGGGTTGAATGCTAGTCCAGAACCCCAGACAGGGTCTGTTTCAACTTAAGGCTGACGATGACGATCTTCCTCTTCTGGGTAACAGAGCATAGACTCTGGCGCCTGGACAGTTTGGTTATGACTTATGAGCGAGAGGAAGAGCGGGGGGGAGACAACGTCTTTCTCAATGAGACGCCAGTAAATCCTCCGAGATGTCGATCTCTCAGGATAACACCCCTGGGGTTGATCAAAGTCACAAATCACAATGCCTGATGATCACATCATCGATTTGGACAGATATTCAGTAACCGTCAAGGACAAATAAAGTATATGCCGCATGCGCCATGACCAAGATGCGGACTATGATAAGAGGATATTCATCTCGATTGTTTCAATGCTCAAGACTTGATCCTCTGCTCGGTTTGACGGACCGAATCCCCATAGGGAGGCATGCCTTTGTGCAGAAGTAGATACTGGCAGACATGACGATCTTCATGCTCACATAATTACTCTGCTTTCATTCACTCAGCGACTCCTCGAGACTTTGCAAAATGCGTCGAGATGAATCGAAGAGGAGCGTTTTCCCAGATGTGTGATATGGAAAGCGATTTCCCCCTCAAGCGTCTAAAATGGCTGGCGTCATTAGGCTCAGAAAATAGATGGATGGCGTTGCGCCACCCTCAGGTCAATCGTCGATAGTCAATAGCGACGACCTAGTCCCTAATTGGATATATTCCGATCGATATCCGGGGAAAGGAGGCTTAATCCAATGAAATTAACTGAGGTTGAGCTTTCATTTTATGTTATCTACTTCCAAGAGCGGCATTCATTGAAATTCTTCATTGGTATCAATTTGTTAGGAGAGTGTCAAAGAAAAGCCGACAAGGCAATGTAACGACTGTCAAAGTCTGGAGAGTATCAAGTAATAAAAACAAAAAAAAAAGAAAAAAGAAAGAAAGAAAGAAAACGTGCTAAATCAATGATAGTGCCCGGCACGGTCACATACAGCTATGAATCTGTGTATGCCTTCGACACCTTCATACTCCGAGGTGCTTTCGGGAATGCCATGGCTGGATACCTCAGGAAAGAATGCACGATCCCCAAGTTCGCTAACATTAATGCTCGAGTATCCTGACGAGGATGATGATACCCAAGGATTCTTCTCGCCGAAGATTGGAGAATCCTCGAAACTGAGCCCATTACTCGACTTCCCAGGATTCCCAGGCGAGCACTCTGTTCTGTTCTCAGGGGTCATCATCGCCTGCCAGTCAACCTCATCCGGAGACTGACCGTCCGACGGCCCTTGCCGAAAGAAGTACTCCTCGGTGACTGAAGAGGCAGGTACGCTGGGAGCGAACGGAAAGAGAAGAGCGAGGTCAGCTCCAGTTTTGACATTGAAGTCCTCATCCTGAACGACCCGTCCTCGCTGCACCCCAACCTCGTCGCACAACCGCTCCACCGTCTCGACATCACACCCTGGAAACCGTACCCGAATGGTCGACCTGTTATGAAGCAGGATAGGTAAATCACCTAGTGCCGATAAGCGCTTCAGGTCATTGAGTACAGCAGCTAAATCTTTCAGAGCACGTGCGAAGTCGGCAGACAAGAAGTCCAGAAGATCCGGATTGATGGTTTCCTGGTCAAGGAGACCACTGGAAGTAGCCTTTGTCTGGGAACCGAAAGCGGTAATGGTAGGAGAGATTTGAAATTCAATATAAGAGCCAGGGGCCATGCGGGGAATCGCCGCCATTTTACGCCCGGCCTGGTCTTGAAGTGTGCTCACAGCCTTGTATCTCTTCTGCCCGGTTATGGGGTCGATACCGTCGAACCTGGCCTTCTGGCCTGAGAGGAAGAAGGCGCGGACTCCCATCGACACATTGTTGATAACTTGCGCAGGGGAGGCCGGACCATGTGAGAAATATCGCGCACCACCGATACGACCGGCACCGGCGGCATAGCCCCCAGCTGTGCGGCCAAGCGTGCCACCGGTCAGATTAGGGCGAAGGGTCGACGCAAAAGGCGCACTGCTGGTCAATCGACTGATGTTGGACGCAACACGGGACGAACGATAAGCTGCACGATCGCCCTGAAATCCTGAGCGAAGGGAGGAGAAAAAGGAACCTGTAGCGCGAGTGGAAAAGTAGCGGCCACTGCGGGATTGGCGGATAGCGGCAGCCCGACTAATGGGCTGACGGGTAGGAATGCGTGCGTAAGCTGGCTGAAGCCGAAGCGATAATTGTTGAGCAGGCTCAGGGATCTTTGCCCTGATGGCCTTCAAAGCCTTCACATAGGCAAACCTGGCAGAGAGTTAGAGAGAACCAACCGAAGTATAGCGGCATGCGTGATCTTACCTTGCTACTCTCCAAAACTTGGGGAGCAGCAGGTGCCCACTGGAGGGTGGCATCCTGAAGGAGAGGAGAGTAATGAATCTATTGAGACTCGAAGGATAGACGAGCCATACCTTTCGAGATAGTGAAGGTGGAAGAAGGATGGACAACAATGAATGATGCCTGGAAATGAGGGACACCAAACGATGGTGGCGGTGCAGCACATGATCTGCTGACGCCACGTGCTCATTGGTGAGGCATATTTGCCACTGCACACTGGGGAATGATAATGGGGATGAATAAGAATCAGATCGAATCGTCGATCATATTTCAGGTGCTATAGGATAATTCATCCATAGTGGAATTAATATTCAGTTGAGTCGGGATAACACAGAGTCGTTTCTTCTTTTGTATGACCTCATTTTTAGAAATTGACTAAGATGATAGTAGTCAATCTTGTCCCACACTCCCACTTGGCAAAATCCTCCATATTTAGATACTGGTGGGACAGCCAGATCCATTGATCTGGAAGTCGACACAGAATAGAATTCTTATTTCGATAATGGATTTAAATAGGAGTCTATCTAGCCAATTGATCCTTTCAATGAAGCCGACAGATACGAATCAAGCGATCGTAGTTTAAGATCAGAAATATATATATATATATATGCAACTGTATATTTTATGATATGCACATCAATTTCTTTAAATTATCTACTCGTCATCACCGAAGAAAACCTTGATAGGCAGCCAGCTATCGCCACAGACCTTGAAGCGGTCCTTGAGGTTATCCAGCTGGTATACCTCGTCGGCAGTCAAATCCCAGCCATCCAGCTCAAAGTTCTTATCAATGCGCTCCTTGTTGACAGACTTGGGGATGACGCTCCAGCCCTTCTGCAGACCCCACTGAAGAAGCACTTGCTGAGGGGTCTTGCCCTTCTTCTCAGCAATCTGTAAAAGAGTCGGATCCTTGTACAGAGGGGAGTTGGTGGAGCCAAGGCAAGAGTAGCCTGTGGAGTGGATGCCCTTGGAGGTGTTGTAGGCCACAAGCTTGGGCGATGGGTTGTTTGGGTGTAATTCGATCTGGTTCACTGCAGGCACGATCTTGGTGCTTGGGTCATTGAGAAGCTTCTCCAGGTTCTTGATGCCGAAGTTGGAAACTCCGATGTTGCGGACCTTGCCTGTAGCAGGCAGCTTCTGCATCTCTTGCCTAGAGGGTGCTTGTTAGCAACAATGCATGCCAGAGTCTTAGACCCACAATGCATACCATGTCTTGATGAAGTCCCAGTCGGGAAGATGCTTCGACCTGTCATTCGGGTCGGTCGAGCTGGGCCAGTGCATGAGGTAGAGGTCGACGTAATCCACACCAAGGCTCTTTAGGGAAGAGTCGATACCGTCTTGCACCCGGTGATGCCACGTGTTGTCAAGCTTGGTGGTAAGCCAGATCTCTTCGCGAGGGACACCCGAGTCCCGGATACCCTGGCCAACCTCGGATTCGTTTCCATAGGCAAGGGCACTAAAGAGTGATCGATCAACACCAGTCTTGTTTGGTACAGTGAACTGCGCCAATCTAAAACTTACGTGTCAATGTGGCGGTAACCCTTCAGCAGAGCATTCTTGACAGCTTCTCTGACCTCGTTGGGCCTAGATTGCCAGGTACCAAGACCCAGAGCGGGGATCTTGTCACCAGTATTGAGGGTGTAGGTCTTCCTGTGAGTTTTACATTCGTTAGCAAACCTTCATGCTCAAAGTTATCATCTCTGTGCCCCATCTCAGGCGCAAATAGTCTACCGGGCCACGCACTTGGTATGTTCGAGAGTGGACATTTTGACGATTGTACGGGGAGGATGCCAGCTAGTGCTCCTAATTGCAATGCAAATCTGTAGACACCGTAAACTGATGGTTGAGGGGATTAAGCCGGATTTATAAGTAAGGGGCAGCGAGCCTTCAGCTACAGATGACAGATTATTGAACAGCCAAAGCAGGTCTAACACGCATGGCTATGACGCGATTTGCGAACTATGGTGGAGGGGTAGCTCTACTCCATAGTACTAGTAAGTGCTAAGTACACAGTAATCAGAATATCAGGCTGCCCCTCTCGATGCAGTGGGGGCGGGGATCCAAAGGATATCTCTTGACTGGGGGTGAGAGTGAGGGGCCTTCTCTTTCCAGTCTCCATGGTACCAGAATCAGATGTAACAACAACCGCAGAGCTGTTGCTAATCAGAAAGAACCAAGGATAAGCTCTCCATCAATGTCTTAAGATATTCAAACTCAGGAGTGCTTGTTGCGTCTAGTATATAGTATTTAGAGAGAGTAGCAACATGGGTAAAAGTCCGGTGGGACTTGATGACGATATTGACTAAGCCGGAGGCGACTAACTGCCTAAAGCGGCCTAGAGGCATTCGGGGTAAACTAAAGGCGGTGTGGCTAGCAGAAGAGGTCTACCGCCTTCATTCTGCCCTGGGGCTCATCACAAAAGCTTCGCAACTTGACAGCATTACTCAGTATGCGCATAATTTTGGATTCTCAGCCAACTCAACCTAACCCTGACAGGCTGCTGGTCTGTGCGAATCGATCCGATTGAGGTCAAAGCACCCAAGACTGTGAAGCTTTAATTGGAGAAAAAAAAAAGATTGGCTCATCGCAAAAATCAAGATGTCCTCTGGTTTTGTGTCTGCAGGAACGGATCAAGAGCCAGTAGAACGAGACGATGAATGGCTCCGGGTACAGCAGGAATTGGAGGAAGAGCGGAGGCGCAAGGCAGAGCTAGGCAAGCAGGATGGCGGGAAGAGTCTGTTTGATGTCTTGCAACAGAACAAGAGTAAGCTTCCACATTTTTCACACCAATTGGCTGGACGCGCGGAGAGACTACTTACGTTTCGTTCCGACTGACATGTTAGGATGACTTGTCTATCGTGTAGTGGCCAAGCAGGAAGCCTTTGAGGAGAAATTGAAACTGAAGAACCAATTCCGATCTCTCGACGAAGATGAAGTTGAATTTCTAGACTCGATCATGGAATCCACCCGCGCACAAGAGGCAGCAGTGAAGAAAGAGACTGCGGAACAGCTCGAGATGTTCCGTCGGCAGCGCGAGGAAGCAGAGAAGGTCATGCTGGAGAACTCGTCTGCGGACGTAGTGCCGACTACGGAAGGAGAGGATTGGAAGATCCCTGCGCGTAAGAGACGGCGCGACAAAACCAAGGACCTTCTTGTTCCTGGCAAAAAGCGGAAATCTGTTGTCACTGAAGGTGTTAGTGAGACTTCATCGCCACGCGCAAAGGCAGAGCCAAGCGCAAAGGAATCTCCCGTGAAAGACAGTGGGAAGTCAAATACTGCTGGAGAGAAATCCCCGCCAGCTGGAAGGGGTCAAAAATTACCTGATAATGCAAAAGGCCCCAGCCCTTCTGTGGAGGTCGCAAAAACAACGGCTTCAAATCAATCAGACCCGCCGGCGAGCAAACCAGCTTCTCTATCTCTTGGTCTCGCTGGCTATAGTTCGGACTCTGAATGAACTTGCGCTTCAAATCTATTCGCACGTAACCATCACTATAATTCTAAGGGAAGGGGGCGCTTTGCCGGCGCCCTTAGGGTCTTTTGAATTCTGGAGATACCCACGAATTCTCATGGTGCAATCCTAACGTTCTATTATATTAGCCAATATATGGTTCCGTATGTCAAGCAGGTTTGGCATCTTATAATTCGACTACAAGTTCATTGATGAACCTTAGTTCCATCAAGATTCAGAATACACTAGACAATTCTCACCCTTTTGAACAAGAATCAATTGTGATGCAAGACCTCTTTGTGTTGCTCCATCTTTGGACGAGCCACATGCTCCTCACCTCGTCGTGTCATCTCACTCTTCGTGAGTTGCAATAGCAGCTTCCTTTTCTTCCTGCTGCTCGAGCTTGCGCTCCAGGTCATGAGGCATGTAGTCCTCCTTGCGCGTTCCGGGCACAATCCAAGGGGCGTTGGAAAACAGATAGTTCATCTCCTCGAGCGGCAGTTTCTTCGTCTCGGGAAGCAACAGCCAGAAAAAGAGCGCATTGGTGAAATTGCAAATGATGAAGAGGAAGTAGTAGCGATAACGAATATTGGTCATCGCGATGGGTGTCACCTGACCAATCATGGTGTTGAAGGCATACGATGTCATCGTGGCGATCGAGACACCCTTTGATCGTGTTCGCGTGTCAAAGACTTCAGCAGGGATGATCCACGAAAGGGGACCGCAGGTAGCCGAGAAGGAGAAGTTGTACAACCAGGTCATGATGATGAAGCCCCAGTGAGCGCCGGTGTTGTTCGTTTCCGGGGGGAACTGTGCCAGCAGGATACATGCGATGATGAAAGTGACCATGTTGCCCAGGTTCCCACCGATAAGAGTCCTGCGACGACCGAAGCGATCGATGAACATCATGCAAAGGAACTGAGCGACCAGGGCGATGATGGAGTTGATGGCTTGATAACGGAGCGTGTCATCGCCTGCGATACCGATCTGCTTGTAGATCTCCACGGAATAATATCTGTGATAAGATTCATCGTCAGCTTTTATATTCCTTTTCTTCAGCTGTTGCCAATGCATGGATTCTTACTGGATGGCTGAGACGCCAGTCATCTGGACAGAGGCTTGCAATGCGCAGCAGAGGAAAAGGCGGCGAAAGGATGATCGATCAGTGAATAATTCGATATATGATTTGGCCTCATGCTCTTGTTCAAACAAAATGCTCTCTTGGATCTGGTTGTACTCTGCGCGAACCCAGGTATCATTTTCATCGCCGTGAGCGTGAAGTTTGGCTAGGGTCTGCAGACCCTTCTCGTGGTGTCCATGATCAATAAGCCAACGAGGCGACTGTACTCATATCAGTTTCCAATTCCAATCTGGAAGAAGCGGAGTGATTAGGTGTATTACCTCTGGGAAGAACATGATGAGCAAGCCCAGGAAGACCGCAGGGACCATCTGCAGCCCAAGAGGAATCCGCCACTGTGCATCATTCGTCTTGGAAAACCCGATATATGTACCATATGAGATCCACGCAGCGCATAGCGCACCAACTCCAAGCATGAACTGCTGCAAAGCTGTGACTCGGCCTCGGATCTTTGGGTGGCAGATCTCAGCTTGGTACAAGGGAATGATCATGGTAAGGAAGCCAACTCTGATGACCCTCGTTAGCAGATCATTGTGCATGCTTGTGTGTGTTTCGACCTACCCAACCCCGGCGAAGAATCTCCCACTATACAAGTATTCGATCGCCCGAGCACCAGTCTGCAGACCACCTCCAAGACAGAAGAAGATACAGCCGATCATAATTGTCCCTCGCCGTCCTGCGTAATCACCGCTAGGGCCTGCAATCGCCGAGCCTACAAACGCACCCGCGGTGAACAGGGACACCACCAATCCACTGTAAAGAGGTCAGACTCCTTGTAATTTTGGGGTTGAAGGAATGGATGAACTCACGTTTCTGTGTCATTGGCGGCAAACTTGGAGTTGAACGACTCGCATGCAATGACTTCTGCAATGACACCCAGGTCATCTTTGCACTAGATATCAGCATCTTCAACATTATATCATAGATCAGATCAGCCTTATACATACAGCCGTAAAGGAAAGAGCCCAGGGAGGCAAAAACGCCTACCAGGAACTAGGGAACGCATCAGCATGGGTTCGATCACAAGGTATAGGGAGCCTCGCGCATCATCATCACTTACCTGGTACCACGGCGGGCTTAAACGCATGATCACACTCACAAGGTCTTCTATATCGCCGAGTGCTCTTGATAAGAACAGGAGAAACTATTACTCTGGGGATAGAGCACGCAATTGTGGAGTATAAGACGATCAACCTGGGGCGTACAAAGTCGGCTCCGCAGCCCTTTTAAGCTTGTAACACCACGCAAAGGGACGGATCCATAGCCATGTCGATTCTCGTGCTGTAAACAATTCTCATGATTCATGAAGCTTGAATTACGATAATCCGGTGGAGTAGCTGCCGAACCCGACGCGTTGGACGGCACATTCTCGATCATCCAGAGTGCACGCCTCCCAATCCTGTGTCCGACAGTCAGCCACTCATTCTATGGCTGTTCAGCAAGGAAATCCTGAACTAGGACCAGTATCTTACCATATCGGGTCAACGAGTCACGAATTTTGCGGGGAGAACTTGAATTCCGGGGAGCAACGAGGCTAACGAGAGCAGATGCGCAAGCTGATTGATGGAACATCTCGCATAGTGCCAACAACTAAGACGCCAAGCAGACGGCGCAAACTGTCACACAATTCATTCTCCAGCCATCAAATGAAAAGTGCTTTTCGGACCTGGGTCCTTGCTCTATTTGGTCAGGGTGTATGTATGGATAATTCCCCCACTGGGAATTTACCAGATTGATGGATAATGGCGGGGGATAAATCCAGCATACTTTACTTTAGAGGCAACTGGTCGAGTTGATTCCGCCAAAAAGTGACTCGATCGATGGAATAATAGGAGAGCACTCCTGTTGTCTTTTGCTTTTTGTCGCTTCTCCTGTCAGGATCTGACTGTCTCTTACCCCTGTTTCCTTATTTCTTTTTATCCAATCGTAGACGAATCACCATGACGACCTTCACGAAGCTCAGTGAGCAGGAGACCCCGAGCATTGCCGTTCATGCATCTCGGCGCATCTCTAAGATCAACCCGAACATCTATGCTGGGTTCACAGAGTAAGATTGAACATGCTCAAATCATTGGTCTTTCAAGCATTGGGTTCTCTGAGCTGACTCGTGGTCTTAGACACATGGGCAGGTGTATCTATGGAGGCATCTATGACCCGGGAAACCCTCTTTCGGATGAGAATGGCTTCCGTAAAGACGTGCTGGAAGCTCTCAAGGAGCTGAACATTCCTGTCGTCCGCTATCCTGGTGGTAACTTTATGGCGACATATCACTGGATTGACGGTGTAGGTCCAAAGGACCAGCGTCCTTCTAGGTAAGCTGTTCATCCGGGATCCACTGCCTGTATACTAAATCCTGGTAGACCTGAGCTGGCTTGGTTGGGAACGGAGACCAACCAGTTTGGAACAGACGAGTTCATGAAGTGGTGTGAATTGCTTGGAACAGAGCCTTACTTCTGCCTGAACTTTGGCACGGGTCTGTCTCCCTCTAGACTATGTGCTATATCAATACTGACTCTTGTCTCCAGGTACCCTTGATGAAGGTAAAGCTCCTTTAGCAGCTGCTCTGGATGATACTAATCTGACGTGTAGCTCTTGCTTGGGTTGAGTACTGCAATGGGACAAGAGATACTTATTATGCCAACCTCCGGAGGAAGAACGGCCGTGAAGAGCCTTACAATGTACGTCCTACTCAACTCGGACTAAACGGTAGGAAGCTGACCCCTCATAGATCAAATACTGGGCTCTCGGTAACGAAGTATGGGGGCCATGGCAGGTTGCACAGACGACCAAGGAGGAGTACGCTCACAAGGCATACCAATGGGCCAAGGGTACATTAATTTTCTAATCCATTTGGTGATTTAGACCAAAATGATTGCTAATATGAGTGCAGCTCTCAAACTGCTTGATCCTACTCTGAAGTTAATCCTCTGTGGGCAGGACGGCACTGCGTCGTGGGACTACTATACGCTAAAGCACTGCATTCTCCCAGTCAACTCGCCTCTTTCCACCAGTGCCGTTCCCTTGATTGATATGCACAGCATTCATCTCTACACATCGTCTTCATCCCATCTCCCCAACGTCACTGCCCCCCTTGCCGCTGAACGTGCTATCGAAATCACCTCGTCTCTCATCGACCTAGCCATGATCGAGAATGGCGTTCCTAACACCCAGCTGCGGCCAACCATCTGCTTCGATGAGTGGAACGTCTGGGACCCAATCCGCGCAGAGGGCAGCAAGGGCGCCGAGGAAAGCTACACTCTCTCCGACGCTCTGGCTGTCGCGGTCTGGCTCAACGTCTTCGTGCGCAAGAGCAAGGATGTCGGCATGGCGTGCATTGCGCAGACCGTCAATGTCATTTCGCCCCTCATGACGACCAAGGATGGCATAATCAAGCAGACTACCTGGTGGCCTTTGTACTTGTTCTCCAAGTACATGCGGGGTTGGACCATTAACACGCATGTGTCCTGCGGTACATACGAAGGCGAAACGGCCCCCAGCTGGGTTCGTACTGTCAAGGACACCCCTTGGCTGGATGTCAGTGCTACTCTGGGAGAGGATGGATACGTAAACGTTGCTGTTGTCAATATCAGTGAAGATAAGGACATCGAAAGCAAGTTTGAAGGTGCCGCTGGGGAGGTCGCCGTGTTCACCGTCAATGGTGACAGCGTTTCGGCATGCAACATGAACGGGAAGCAGGAAGTCGGTGTGACTGAGAGCACCTGGGATGGCAAGGGCGCTTATGCGTTTCCTAAGCACTCGCTGACTCTGCTGAGATGGAAGGCTGAGTAGACCGTAACAAAATCTCCTTATGTTTGCTTCTTCTGAGCTTTCTTATTCTCGTGGTGTGATATCGGGCTTTAGAGATAGGTGCAGGATAGACACGAAATGACATTAACTCATCAAGATTATAATACATATCTCATCAAAACTACGTAGCAACGCAGGTATATCCTCTTGGTGGTCAGCATCAACTCCCCGTTGCTCAACCGAAGTTGACATCCTTGACGACGTCCTGCTCATCGAGGTGAACGTTGAGTCTATCAAAGAACCCCAGAGTTAGCGTTGGCCTACTGTAAGCTGGCTCATGCTGGACGTACCTATCCGGTCTATGGTCCATTGTCATCGCATCCCCAGGACGAAGGATTCTATGAGACTCGGGAAGATCCTTCTTCGCAAAGGTCTATTGACTCATAAGTATCCCAGCAAGACACCAATACAACGAACATCCATGGATAATTAATTACCTGCACATCACTAGTAGAGTCGCTGATCTTCTTGCCAGCGAGCTTGTTGAGCCATTGGCCCTTCTCACCACCACCCATATTCGAGGTGACTCCTGGAACAACGAGAGGCATCTTGGATTGTGTTTGGCTTGAGAAAAATCGTGTTATTAAGCTGTATTGGTTATGGAGATAAGTTCTTTTCATTCAGGATTTTCTTGGATGATTGTTGTAGAAGGCATTGGCATGTCATTCAAGTCCATTTTATAGTGAGGCAGAGACGATAAGAATCGCCATGACGTCGTTTTTCTGGGGAGAGACTGATCTGGTTGTCTGTTTGGGATTAGTGCATCGGTGATAGCCACATGACATGCTCATCACGTGTTTGTATACAACCACTACTCTTCTAAGAGCCTCTAGTGAAGTAGCATCATTCGAGAGTTGGGCAGTACAAGGATCTATAGATCTATAGATTTTTCCACAGCATGTGCTTACTTTATATGTGTCAGAATAAAGCCGGGAGGGACGGCCATGATCATTCCCCGACTTCATCAAGAGTCTTCTCCAAGATATATATTGGCTTGGATTCTATTCGACGATAACAACTAGGCCATCGAGTTTGCACGATACTAAATTTTATGGGGATCATCCTAACTGTTGAAACAAATCTGTTTGGACCTTTTACCCTACTCGGAGATCAATTCTCGAAACGTGCAGCAGGCAATCGTATCGGTCGTTCCTGCCATGCTTCCAGCATAGCTGATGGTCTTCCACGGCGCTTCGTTCGTCTCTCAAAATGCCAATCTTCACAGTCCTTTAGGGAATTACTGTCCAGTATTCGTGATATATTTATGCCAGATAACCCGCCTATTCGCGACCTTGCAAATGTATGCTTGTAAGGTTGGAGGCTCACCTGGATACTCCCAAGAGTAGGATGCTAGGAAATATCATCCTCGGTTTCGCTACACTTTTCCCGACTGTTTCGACTTTTTACACTCCTTCCTTAACCGTCCGTACTCGAGAGTCCCCTGGTCGCTCAACAGAGCCCCTGTCATGCATGTCCTGCAATGGTTTTGAAGCGAGACTGGGACAAATGGCGATGAGTGTGGAGCGTTCAGAGTCAAAAGACAGATGGGAAAGTATATACGACTTCTTTCGGAGTAAATCCCACGTCGAAAGAAGACAGCAGAAAGAGAATATCGGAGCAGACGTTGAAATGAAGGGTGAGAGCGACATGTCTGAGTGTTTTCAATGCTCAGATATTGCTAGAGCCCCGGATGACTCGACAAAGTCTGAGGTTCCAACGAGGACCAACATCAGAGCCTCGAAGCCGACATTGTCGAGTCTAGCTCGAAGAAAGGATCCCCGAGTAAGAAGCCTAACAGCGATACCGTCAACTTCAGCGAGTCCAACTATGGAGTCTCTAGCACCCACGCCATCACACAAATCCTTTCTTCCACATTGGAGCTACAAGAAAAGCTCCATCGCGGCTGCAACAGTGATCACAGTCATCGCCGCAGTCGGCCTTGTTGTACTGATAGTCCTTCTCATAAGGAGACTTCGACAATCCTGGAAGCGTTACAGAAAGCGAAAACGAGAATATGTGAAATCGAAGTACTATGCAATCTCCCCCCTCGACGATAACATCGGGGCTTACACTTTTGCGACGCCAGAAAGTAGGATGAGCCGTGAAACGTTGATGTTCGGTAGGAGTCGATCGAATTCGATGACCTATGTCGTTGAGGAAGCGATAGACAAGGGGGCTGTAACACGAGTGATTTGTGCAAGCAAAAATGCTCTTCTAGCTTCGCCTCTGGATTTCATCTCCGCTTCGGGGCGCTCGGAAGTGGACCAGGAGGATGTCTCTGGGCCAGACATCTTGAAGGAGCCGGGACGTGCTGGTTTCGTCCCGAGGCGAGTGGTCATCATCTCACCTTCCCTGAGCCCTGTGGAATCTATAACTGCTTGCGAGGTCGGAAGAAAGTCATGGTCGAGACCAAATGAGCAGGTTGCGCTGCGTGAGTTGCAGAAGATCCCGCCCAGTCCTGTGAAACAACAGAAGGAAGTCCGACCAGCGTCCTCCAGCAAGACTCCAGATACGGATATGAACAACCTCTTTCGCTTGCCGTCTATTGAGCGAAGCACATCACCTCTATTCAGTTTCTAAGTTCAGCATCTCTGGTTGGAAAGAGATATTGCACCTGTCGAGATAACCTTTCTTTGCGTTTTGGAAACATTGCGGTCATTCTCAAGCAGCACACTTCCATTGTTCTAGTCTACTTGGCCATTCATGTTTTCCGTTGGACTACTAGGATTGAATGGACATACACCGTCTTTGCCAAGACTAAATATCTAAATTCCCCAGTGATCATTATATATATGCCTTGCGCAAGCATAAGCGCGTTCACCTCAAGTACAGAAAAAGTAACCATCGGCAGTATAACCATTTTATTTCAGCGGCACGCAAAGATAAAAAAGATATCAAACATGAATCCACAACAAAGCAAACTGGGAGATAATGCAATGATGCCACCATACGCCTTGTCCTCTTTTTCATCAGCGTCGTCACAGATACAGGCAGTCATTAAAACCAAGGGCTAGAACGAGAAGGCAGGACGTGGGAGGGTATTAGTGACATAAGGAGAGTTAGGAGGTGGACTTATTCTACAGGGCGGAAAAATCAACACGAAGATAACAGAAGTTGAAAAAAAACAGTGCGGAAATCTATCTATGGTATTGTTTGGTTGTTCAGCTCACGTAGCCGGTTCAAGCATCGTTCCAGCCGTTTCCCGCGTTCTCTCTCTCGGACCAGGGTCGTTCGGACAAAGGTGCGGATGGCGTCCCGGCCAACTCGTTCCCTCCACGAGGTCCATCCAGCAAGTTCACCGACGACGACATCCTTGTTCCATGCAATTTCGCGGGAGAGACGTCCGATCTGGGCTTCCGACTCCTGGATCTTCTGCTCTAGATCGCGGGCTGATTTCTGCCGGGATTCCTCCAGGCCCGGGAAGTTGATGTTGAATTTGCGGGGCAAGGATGAAGAGACGAGCGAGGAGCGGTTACGGGACAGGTTGCGTGCTGTAGACTGTAAATTCGAGATGAGCGAGACAGGGCGCGATAACGAGCCAAGAATGGCCACGGTCGTGTTGTCAATCGACGTGAGAGCCGACAGGAATTGAAGAAGTGGAGACGAATCGGAGGATGATGTTGAGAGGTAAGAAGCGTAACGGGCGAAGGCATCCACATGAGACTGAGGAAGCGCGTTGGTAGGAGGTCTGAGTGTCGAAACCACAGACGAGCACAAAGTCAGTGCATCAGCCATATCGGATGCGGCGTTCTGCAGAGAGTGACCGCGACGGATGAGGCTGCGCGTATTCACGTGAACGGCCCGTACCATATCCTGAGTGTGTGAGACGAATTGTTCTGTTTCTCGCATACCCTCTGCTGTCACGGGCGCATAATCGTCTACAATAGACTCGGAGAGCACCAAAGCCTTACGACGGGACCTATCAGTCATCATATCGGGTTGCAGCTCAGGCACCAAAAAGAACTCCCATAGCATCTCGTGTGTCGCGAAGGTGGGATGGGTGAGTAAAATCTTCAGAAACCTATCCAATTTCTCCTGTAGATCATGGAGAACCGAGCGGGAGGGTTTGGAGTGTATCTGGAACGGATTGCGAAAATCGGAGAGCGAAGGAATGTACGAGGCAGGATGTTCCATTGAGAGGCACTGGGCAAGATTCTCAAAGTCTGAGAATGTGCGACGGCATGTTGTGACCGTGTATGTGGTAGAGCCAGGGCGAGCATCCGCGGATTGAGATTGAGAAGTCGGCGCGCCGGATTTCAGAACAAAGCGTACTGTCGCATCCTCGACAAAGTACGAACGAACAACTGTGGTGACTCGGCCTGATGGATCATTGCACGCCGAGGGCGGATTTGAAACCAGGATGAGATCATCGATGCGATTTCGAACCTCATCATCTTTGGCGAGTTCGACAGCCGTCAAGCCGCGAGCTTCTTTGAGGTGGACATCAACTCGAGGATCGAGGAACAGGATTCGCACTTGGTCGACCCGGCCATACTTGCTCGCCATCATAAGGGGCGTGAATTTCTTCTCGTTTGTTGCGTTGGGATCACAATCGGTCTCTTGCAGGATTCGAATAGTTATCTCGGGGTCACCAACGATGTGCAGCAGTGTATTGCTCCTTGAGTCAATGTGGTCATCAAGACGCAGAGGTTTGCCGTCTGCTTGATTTGTTTGGGCAGCCGTCAGCGCTTCATTCACCATCAATCTGTAATTGGGATGGTCATAAGATCTGCATAGGGCAAAAAGTGGTGTCTGTCCATGCTTGTCACGTTGTCGCCAAGGTATGATCTTTCCTAGTCTATGGATTACTGATGGCGTACTGAACAGATAGTGAGCAGCGGTGCGGCCATGCAGGTCCGACTTTCGCAGGTAAGCGGCGATGGTTCGCTCGTCAGTTGCGTTGAACATGAAATCAAGCAGAGTGTCCACCATGTCGGGGTGAGCGAGTTGCACGGCAGCACTTAGGAGCGTTGTGCCATCAATATTAGTATCCTCGAGGATATCCTCCAATGAATAGTACTCTTCTAGGCTCAATAAGTATCTGAGAGCCTCCGGCTGGCGGCTTTCAATGGCCATCATAGGAATCGAATCGCCCGCAGGATCCTGCGTCTTCGTCAACGTTTCGATTGAACTATCTCCTTCTATTGCACTTGTCATTGACTCGATGGTTGTAGTGCGCGAGAGGAACGAAATGGCAGACGACTCTGAGATACTGCGGACATCCATCGAGACCTTCTTCACTGGGCGGTGGAATTCCTTCGAAGGAGGGTTGCTGGCCCATGTCTGGAAAGGAAATACATGTGCAAGCGGTGGTATCTCGTTGGATCTGTCACCTTCCTGGGACTGCAATTCTAAATTGGCTAGCGCATGAGACATGGACGATGGCCCTCGAAAAGGTTCATTCGGTTCCTCGTTTTCGTGAGTCTTGAAGAGCACTGTCTTCCCTTCCGGTTCGTCAGAAATGTCGTCTATCGAGTCATAATCGCCATTCGGCTCCAGAATGGCCCTCATCTCAGCGATACGACCCCCCCTGGTGGCATTCCATAAGCGCTTGTTGCGAATACTGGCTCTGCGCAGGCCCGCTGAATCAGTCACCAAATACGTGAGAACGGCCTCAAATGTGCTTAGAGCATAACCCATCTCGCCACTATCGACATCGTCGATGTAGATGAAGTGCTGCATATACAAAAGTCTTGCTTGAAGATGTCTGACTTGAGATCTTATGACCACAATAAGCAACAGAGATACTAGAATATCAGCGTTGATGGTAACAGGGGCGACCTGTTTTTCCGAAGCCTCATGAGATGCGTTGTCATAGGTGCCGGGATACGACAAGACCTTAACTGTTCCCAGTAGAGTACCCAACATGTCGTGAGGACATTTTGCGTCCAGCATTTTCCGGAACGCCTCCACTGCTCTCCCTAGACGCTGTAACAACTCCCGCTTACCTTGACGACCACCTTCAACGACAATGCCAACCTGATAGATATCCAGATTCTCCATATGGCGGGTTCTGGCGTCTAACTCCGCATCTTCAGGTTGACGGAAGCTGCATAACCGGGGAAACAAGAGGGATTCGTGCACTTGCTCAGCAACATAACGCTCGATTAATCGTTCGACCAAAGGTCCCGTCAGGTCGGTGGTCGCACCAAGGAGAGATAATTGCTGTTTGTCCACTAATCGGAACAAATCAATTGCTGCTGTAACTGCTGTCTCCAGGCTGCGGCGCATCAGGTCTTCATCGTCCTCGAAGTATTCTTCAGAATTGAAAGGTAGTCGTTCTCTTCCGCGGGAGGAGGAGCTCCAAATTGAAGCTGCCTCATCAGGTACATATTCATCTCGAGTTCGTTTACGTTCGTACTCTTCAGGAATAGAAGGTGAGCGCGACGGAGGGGGAGGTAACGGTTTTCCTAACTCTTTTCCGAACTCCCGAAACAGTCGCTCTAAGCCAGGTTGCATCTGCCTTGCAATCATAGGGAAGTTGGCCAGCAATTCTCCGAAAGTTTTGATCTCCTTTTTCGGTAGCGACGAGATGGAATCTCCGGGTTTTCCTCCTGGGGTTATAAGTGCTCTTGGAGGTAGCGTTCCGGGAACGGCGGCAGAGATGATCTTTGCTGGGTCAAACGAGCCGATCAATGGTCGAGAGATGTAGTAGATGAGCCATGGCTGAGAGTCTGTACTTGGCGTATAGTACAGAGCATCCGAGAGTAGTTGAGCCTGGGTTAGAGATTTGAAGCCTAACAGTCTAGTTCAGCACAGGCAACAGCCAAAGAGAAACCGGGAGCGCTCTTCCCACCTTTGTTGCTGTAAACCGAATTCTCCTTCACGATGACGGTTCTACCATTGACGGTCGTGACCTGTTTTGCCTTTCCTCTGCTGTCACGAACATTGAGATCATCCTTCGCGGCTCCGATAGCTCCATTGACGATCGGGATTCGCAGCGTATGGCTCCCCAGAAACTCCTCTGAAACGACAAGATCCGAATAGTAGAGGCTGGATTCACGGTCGCGCGACCCAACTAGGGATTCAGTGATCGGGACGAGAAGGACCTATGGCCATAATGTAAGAACGTATTTCCTCAAGCTTGTCCTGATAGGAGTTCGATGGCGCATACATGGTTCTCGATCGGCAGACACTGCCCCGGTACAGTGCTTCGGAAGAAGGCACGGAGAAAGGGATTTAGAGGGTGCATCCAAACGGTCTTGGACGACGGCCCGAGAAAGAAGCTCTGGCACTCATCAAGCCGTGTGTTTGGATCTTGAAGGTCGGCCTTGCGCTGCTCCGTTGATCGTCACGGGGGAGGAGCAGATCCGGCGCAATCGCCCACCGAGTACTAAAGGCGCGAAGACACGATGAATCCGTCAATCTCCAGGCGGAAATGAAGAGTAGAAGCAGGATGAGAACACAAGCAAAAACAAACAACCGAAAGTAAATGAATACCACAAAGCGACGATAAATACTTGTCTAAATGGGGAATTGAAACTGTCAGCCAGCAGCTTTCGCAGTGTTGGAGACCCTGAAGCTCAACACGCTATGCCGCTTTCGGCAAGCTGGGCATTATCTATGAAGATCACTGTTTCTTCTTGGCTGTCTTGACTCTAGGTATGATGCTTTGTGATGGCGACGTTTACACTGATATGGTGAGTTTAGAGCAATAAGTAAAAGCAAGTCAGGTTAAAAAAATCTTATTTTGACAGATACAAGTTAAAAAAAAAAGGCGAAATTTGTGGATCTTCTGTAAAGATTCCCCCACTAATGTACATATTTGGTGATTGAACCACGACGTTTGACAGGTCTCATCTGTGAATCAAATTTAGATATGGCTGATTCAGAGTTATTCCGGTAGAAAGATTCATCGGGTCTGTAAGCCGCTGGCGACAGCTCGATGACGGACTGAAAGAGATCTGTTCCCTGGGCCCGCAACAGATAGGTGCAACTGGAGAACATATATGGGTATGATAAGAAAGCAAGACGGCAATGCAGCTTAACCCAGTCTGCGGACCTTTCTGCTTCTCGTGCCACCGAACTTGATGCGAGTCGAATCTGTTACTCGACAGACTAACCCCCGAATGTTTCTTCCCTCGTTGCCCAGTAAAACCTTCGTGAAGGCTTCCCGGCCCAATCCGAAGCCTTGAAAGACAACCTCCAGCCGCTTGATGTTCATAAGGTAGCCCCTTTCTTGGATCTGACCAAAGACGTGGGATGCCAATTGGTATGCCGGGTCATATCCGGAACGGCCGCCCTTGCGAAAGCCCAGATGCCCACAGCTCATCGATAACATCGGGTTACCGTTTGGTTGCGTCAACGTCAGGAGTGTGTTGTGTTTGTGAGCATAGACGTGAAGATGATGAGGAGGAGAGCGGTCGGCATAGGGGTCCTTGATCATCTCGGCTTCAAGGCTCTCGGCCATACGGGAATAATCGCGGCTGACTGCTTGACTAGCGCGGGCCTTTTCTCCCTGCATCATTCTGGTGATTGCAGATAGTGGTGAACTGTCCTTTTCACTTTGTTCCGACTTGGGGCTCAAAATCTGTCTCTCAATCTCGCGAGTCCGGTCTTTCGTATTCGCGCTGGGGCTGCTGAAGGTGGTCGAAAAGGGCCGCGCCACACGCAGGGAAGAAACCCTGGTTTGGCATGTTCTGCCAGCCGATGGCAAAGCCTTGATCAAAGTAGTCATCGAATTCATCTTGCCGTGTTGCCGAGTAGCTCAAGGGAGATCAGGCCGGCGGATGGCCGGACAAAGTGTAATGCGAAATGCGAAATTGGCTTCCAAAACGAAAGCGAAGACAATTGGAAGGACGGCTAAGATAACGCCCGATGAACAACTGCCCAGCAACAAGGAGCAAGATTGTCCCAGCTAGATAGAACGACAAGACAAGCGTTCCTTGTTGACTGGAAGACGGCGGCGGAAAAGGCGAGACCCGAAGTTTTCGATTGGTCTTGGCATCCGCGCGATCTCAACTTTTTTCCCTTCTTCACCAGCCGAATTGCTTCTTCTCCTCTTCTTCCCCACGGCCCGAGCCCACCATTCCTCCCTCGACTTCTGGGGCTTGACTCATTCATCTTCTTTCTTGACCCTTCTCCATATCCTTATCCCTTTTATTTTACTTGGATATCTTCGTGGCTTATTAGAGCATGATCTCGACTACCAAAATGTCGGCTATCGCACGGGCGGCAACCATACGGGCCCAGGTTCCTGGCCTCAAGGCTACATACGGCAATGCCATCGCATCTCCACGAGCTTTGTTCCAGAGCGGTTCCTACTCAACTCTACCTTCTACCTCTTTTACATCACAAAACAACAGGACGACCCTCTCCCAGCCCTTCCGACTCGTCTCCCCATACACTGCTTTGCCTTTGACGCGGTCATTCCATGGCGCTGCGGCTCGCTGGCAACAACAGCAGAAAGAGAAGCCGACCGAAGAAAAGCAGAGTGAAGGAGCCAGCCGCGAGAAGGGCGAAGAAGCGAAAGACGAAGGGAGCAAAGAAGAAGGACAAAAGGAAACGCCTCCACCACCGCCACCTCACGGAGACAAGACTCCCTGGCAAGTCTTCAGGGAGACTCTTCAGTCAGAATTCAAGGCATCCAAGGAATGGAATGAGTCCACCAAGGCTCTTGCATCGTCTGCCCACCAGTTCGCCGAGAATGAGAATGTCAAGCGTGCTCGTGCTGCTTATGAAGCTGCTTCAGGAGCGGCAACTTCTAAGACCTCGTCTGCATTGAAGACAACTGGCCATGCCATCGGTAAAGGAGCTACGTGGACTTGGAACACGCCCGTTGTCAAGGGTATCCGAAAGGGTGTCAATGTGACTGGTGCTGGACTCGAGAAGGCTACCCGGCCCGTGCGCGAAACCGAGGCCTACAAGAACGTGAAGGAAGCTATTGATGATGGCAGCAGCTCCCGCTATGGTGGCTGGATCGAGAAAGAGGAACGCCGTAGACAGCGGCAACTACGTGAAGAGAAAGAGTTGCAGAGTGGGCGTCGTCGGGCTGAGCCGATGGCTGAAGATCCAAAGTAAGTACTTTCTTGATCAGACCTGCGATATTGAAGGTCTCTAACTTTTTTTTTTCTTTTCAGTGCGGGAACCAATGTCACTCTTCACAAAGATGCCGCATGGAAGGAGTCGTGGCGCGACTTCAAGGACTCCAATCCTATGATGCAGAAGCTTTTCGCTTTGAAGGAGACATACAATGAATCTGAGAACCCTCTCATTAGTACTGCACGAAGCATCTCGGACCGCGTTGCTGGTTTCTTTGCCGAGAACGAAACTGCCCAGGTCATTAAGAAGTTCCGCGAAATGGACCCCAACTTCCAGATGGAATCATTCTTGAGAGAGATGCGCGAATACATCCTTCCCGAAGTTCTTGACGCCTACGTCAAGGGTGATGTCGAGACGCTCAAGCTTTGGTTGTCGGATGCGCAGTTCCACGTGTACGCTGCTCTTTCCAAGCAATACACCACCGCCGGTCTAAAGTCGGACGGTCGGATCCTCGATATCCGTGGTGTTGATGTTTCTAACGCTCGTATGCTGGAACCTGGCGAGATCCCCGTTTTTGTTGTTACCTGCCGTACACAAGAAGTTCATGTGTACCGCAACGTGAAGTCCGGTGAACTCGCAGCCGGTATGGAGGACAAGGTGCAGCTGGTCACTTACGCCATCGGTCTCACAAGAATACCCGAGGATGTCAACAACCCTGAAACCAGAGGATGGAGATTGATCGAGTTGCAGAAGGCTGCCCGTGACTACATCTAGAATATTTCGCGACAACTCCTATCTCCAGCGAAACCGACCCTTTCCTATAACCGTCAACCATACTCCTATCTGATCATCGGCGGTCTTTGATGAAATACCTCTCCAGCTCTTCGCGATTGTTTTGATATCATGCGACTGTACAATATCGACTATCTAAATAGAGACCAGGCGGACCCGGCGCGTCATGTTATATCTGTCATAGTAAATTCGGCTTTTTTACTTCCTTTCTTGCTGTGTCATTACTCCTATCTCACTTTTATTACTGTCCATGTGTCCAGGATCTTTCTCCCTATTGTGGCAATTTGATTTTCTGGCCTGCGTGAACTCTTCTACCCAACTTCTGCCACTGCGGTTGGTAGATTGGTCCCTTGGGACGAGGAACGAAAGTCTTAGGCCACACAACCTTTGTTTTTCTCTTTTAATTTTTCAAAGTATGCACGGCGTTATTTGCGATCTGCACCTTGTCAAGCTCCACTCCCCTCACTTCATGTATCTTGCATCTGGATTCATATCCAGCTGGTTTGCGTTTCTCGTCTAATGATTTCTGGTGTTTGGGAATCTACGCGTATGGTTTGGATCAATGGACTTGCCATTACGTCAAACGCCTTCCTCTTGAAAAGTACGCGGAACAAATGTGTATATATACGACAAAGTGACTATCAGATGACGAGTAATTCCACCTTGAACTAAATATTAAGCAAGAATCATCTCTATTCAACAAAGCATCAGCTCGAAGGACTCATGACCAAGGTGCATAGGTAGTAGTATTATAAGGGGATCGAATGGGGAAAGCTTAAGATGAATCGAATCATTTCACAAAAGAATGTCATGAAGATCGCATGCCACAGTTGAACGTAAAAAAGTAAACTACCAAAAGCCGGATGCAAATATTTCTGCTTTACTGTTGTCCACCACGACCAGCACCGCCCATCATATTCCGAGCCCTGATATATGATATTAGCTTATTTCAAAATGGGACGAAAGCGAAGTTTGCTCGCGTGGGGAACTTACATTTCTGCGATGCTCGGGTCGCTCATCAAGCTAGACATATCGGGCATGCCACCACCACTGCCGAAGTTCTCAGCCATCTGTCTCAATTGGGGGTTGCTCATGAGATTGCCCAGCATATCTGGGTTGCTCATCAGGTTCTGGGCCATGCTCGCGAACATGGGGTTGCTCATAATCGAACTGAGATCGGGCATGCCACCGCCGCCACCGCCACCTCTTCCACCGAGCATGCTGGCGAGCGATGACAGGTCAGGCATGCCACCAGCGCCGCGCGACGCTCCAGCGGCATCATCAACATCATCCGCAGGAGGCTCAGCTCCGCGGTTGGCCTCCTCGATCTTCCGCGTAGTAGTCTCGAGGCCTCTCTTCATCGCATCACTGCCTCCGTTACCCTCCGCCTCAATACCCTTCTCGTAAGCTTCCTTAGCTGCGTGGTAATCCGCCATATCAAAACGTGCCAGACCGAGACGGCTCCAAGCCTTGGAATACTTGGGGTCCACGACGGTGGCGAGTTCCGCATCCTCTGCTGCCTTCTCATGTTCACCGGAGGCGGAGTAGGCAGCTGCGCGGTTCGAGAGGTAGATCGGGTTTGATGGAGCGATGGATAGGGCCTGAGTATACAGATCGATGGCCTTGCTGTATTCCTTGCGCGCCATGGCGGCATTTCCCTCTGACTTCAGCTTGTCGGATTCGGCAGTGGGCGCACCGGCCTTGGGCTTCTCGGCCTCAGCGCTCTTGGCCTGCGTACCAGCGCCAGTAGATTCCGCCGAAGGCTTCTTGCGGAGCTTCTCGTAGACGCTGAAGATGCTTGCTAGCGATTGCCCGCCAAGAGCATCCTTAACTGCGGCCTCGTCGGAGGGGTCGACCTTGAAAGTATCCGCGATACACGACTGAGCAATTTCGATGGACTCAGCATCATCGGCGGTCAGGGTACCATCCTTCAAGCTGGAGCCCAGGAAGTCGATAACTGCCAGCGCCAGGCGCTTCTGAGACTCATTGGGAGCCTAGACCAGACAACGGTCGATGAGTCTTCTACTCTATGAAGGGTGAAAAAGACTGGAGAATACAGCAGAGCTTACCATTGTTTGATGTGAAAGCGATCGTCTCAAGCAGTCAAATCAGCTAGAGAATCAAGAAAACTGCAGCTAGCGGGGATCACTGGAGAAATGAATTGAACTCTCATGAAGCTGGACCGATGCGGGGGGCAATCAGCTTTGTTTGCACTGTTTGCTTGCTTTGTCAGGGGAAGCTCCCGGCACACGTGATGATCAATCATCAACATCTCGACATGGACGGGCTTGTCCCAACTTTATTCCTCAATTTTCAGAGGATAAGTCGTGGAATATTTGGGTGAGTATGCCGAGTCTTGCTGGGATTGAAGTGTCCCGAGTTTGACGCATCAAAAGCTCGTCCCGGACCTCCCAAAGATGACTCCATGTGAGCTCCTTCTCCTGCCTGTGACTATCGCACCCAAGTCAAGCCATGTACTGGCCCAATGGAGTTCCGCGGGTCTATGCGATCAATGGCCCCGACATTCCTCCCATTTCAAATGATGAGATAGAGCAGGACGAGCAAAGAAACTCTGAAGAGGAGCAACTTCGGTCAAGTCAAGATGCCACGGGAGATCCACCCATATCGGACACGACCTGGGCCAATGAAGCCATTACTGGACTGTGTGTCTCCAGGAGCGGTCACATATTTGCGACGATGACCGATTTAACAATTGCTATCTGGCAGACTAGAGTATGAACCTCGTGGTGTTTTCCATTATCATCAAGTTCGAACCGGGCCACTGACATGCTCACTAGCCTACCGCCGTTGTTGCTGGAATTGCTCGCTCTGCTTCTTCATTAGAGACATATGGAGCTAATGTGGCTATCCTTATGCATCCGGACTCGACGATACTTGTTGTTCAAACGCTCGGCGGGTATCTACTTACTTATACCATTACGACTGACCCAAACACTCGGGTATATCAACAGCGCTTCGACCAGTCAGGTCAGAACCGACGTCAGCAGATCGCTCGTCTGTCTGCAGGGGACGATGCCAACAGTATCCGCGATGTCAGTATTCGGTTTAGGATGGCGATCAAGATTGAGTCAGGTATTGTCAAAGCGCTAGCCCTCGACAATGAGCTTGTTGTCGCTACAGTCAAGCCAGCGGCCATCCAATGTATTCGATGGACTCCTGATGCCAGCGGTACCCAAACTACGTCAGAGATGTTGAGTCGGGTTCTCAATGTCTCAAAGCGAACCTCTATCGTGGACATGGTGTACGACCGAGCTATAAATCTACTGGTTTGGGTGACCAGTGATGGACAGGCGTATGCTGTACAACGAGTGCTGGAGAATAGCAGCACAACAGAAGGTCATAAGAAACTTTTCCATGGCCACTGCTTTCACAACCCAAATAACGATGACGAGAAGGCAGTCAAGGTTGCCATCAATGCGCGGTTCTCTCTGATTACCGTGAATTGCGTCAGTGGTGATATCCTTGTCTACACAGCCAAAGACTACCTTGGAAATGTTCCACTATCACAAAAGCTCCAATTACCAGCATCACATACCGCTACCGGTAGCTTGAATTTTATGTCCTACTCTCCTGATGGATACTGTCTTTTTGCGGGTTACGAAAATGGCTGGACAACATGGAGCGTGTTTGGCAAGCCTGGTGGGAATAGCTTTTCAGTGGATCGATCGCTCGCTGCAACCAATTCTGAAGATTGGCTGAACGGAGTATCGAACGGATGCTGGATAGGTGGAGGCTCGGACGTTATATTGACAGCACAGAATGACCGTCGACTTTGGATTCTGGAAACCGCACGAAGTGCCCTTACAGGGTGCTTCTCGTCAGCCAATATGGCCAGAGGCCTCTTGCAGACTGGCACGGAGGTAATTCTTTATCGTGGTCATGACCTACCAGATCTTACGACAATATCTGGCAAAGACTCTTTGTGGCATCATGCGCAGTACCCACCAGAATATCTTCATTCTCAGTGGCCGATACGTTCGAGTGTCGTGTCCCAGGATGGGCGGTATATAGCTATTGCGGGGAGAAGGGGCCTTGCACACTATAGTGTGAACAGTGGTCGCTGGAAAGTCTTTGAGGACCCGAAGACCGAAAATTCATTTGCGGTGCGGGGAGGTATGTGCTGGTATGGGCATATCTTGATTGCCGCCGTTGAAAGCGACGGCTCCTATCAGGTTGGTCGTCCGGTCTGTCCTGTGTTCAGCTTGCAGAAATTGATTGTGCCAAACAGCTTCGTTTATATTCCCGAGAACTCCCTCTGAACAAGCATTCGATTTTGCACATCGAATACCTTCCCTCGCCTGTGGTCTTTATTGGGCCATCGGGAGAAGATTCCCTTCTCGTCTATACTTACGACAACATTCTGTACCATTATATCATTAATTCTATGCAAGCGCGCATTACCCTTGTCCCTGTGGGCCAAATTGCTTTTCATGGTATCGTGCGGGCACCTACCAGAGTTCGGGCCATCAGCTGGGTCCTGCCGGAAGATCAGATGCGTAAGTGATGTTCTGGCAGTTGTGTCGAGGCAATAAAGGTTGTTGACTTGCGACAGGAAGCGGAGATCCGTCTCAGGACGTCAAAGTGGCATCCGTGCTGCTCCTGGTCGACGGAAACATGGTTCTCCTACAGCCATCGTTGACCGAATCGGGCGAACTGAAATATGACATGCGAGTTATATCCCACGATGTCGAGTACTACATCTTAATGCGAGATCAGCTTTCATTTAATTTCGCACCCCCTGTGGACGAGTCTGTTCCGGCCAGTCCTTCGGCCGAAATCGCACTGAACACATATCACCGTGGCGATCAATCATTGCGAGACTCTCTCTGGATGTTCTGCGACAAGGAATTGCTAATCTGGGGCGATGTACATGAAGTTTTGCAGCGTGAGGAAGTGCCAAAACCTATTGAAGTTCCTCTTGACTTCTATCCTCTGTCGGTGCTCCTAAACAAGGGTATTGTTCTAGGCGTCGAGTCAGAAATGACTCAGAGACGCGACACCACTTTTGCCACCCTAAAGTTCGCTATTAGGGTATGGTCTTTTCTCCAATCTCTTGAGACCTCTATTGTGACATGAATACTGACAAGTGTACAGACTAACTTGTTCCTTCCATACGTCTTGCAACATGACCTTGTCCAAGGGGACATGTCGGCCGCACTCGTGCTATGTCAGCGTTTCTCACACTTGTCGTATTTCCCACATGCGCTAGAAATGCTCCTGCATCATGTTTTGGACGACGAGGTCGATAATGAGAGAAAGGAAAGCAAGTTGGATGACCCCTCCCAGAAACACGAGCCACTACTTCCATTGGTCATATCATTCCTTCAGACATCACTTCCAAGCCGAGTCTTTCTGGATATTGTGGTCCAGTGCACGAGAAAGACAGAGCTTCGGTCGTGGCGCACACTTTTTACCTACCTTCCTCCACCGAAGGATCTTTTCGAACAGGCTCTGAAGCTCAATTCGTTGAAGACTGCTGTTGGCTATCTGCTTGTTCTGCAAGCATTTGAAGACGAAGTAGACGACGACCACGAGGCACCGATAGAAGATTACGTTGTCCGCTTGATCGGCCTTGCATCACAGAAGGGCGACTGGGAGCTGTGTGGCGAGCTGGCACGGTTCCTGATTGCTCTTGATGCGTCGGGAGACATGCTTCGGCGCGCCATCTCGCGGGTGGGCTTGAGGATTACAGGTCAATCGACAACCGGGCTGAACTTGAACGGCTCAAGCGCCAGTGTCAAGGGACTGGGGTTGAGTATCCATACACCCCCGTGGCCAATGTCACGCACACCTTCTATCTCGCCGCACTCACACCAGCGGATGGACCAAGAAGACCAAGGGTCTACCGCGGACAACGGAACAGACACCCAAAATGCATTCTCTGCAGCTAGTCACTAGGTAGGAATGTACAATAAGCATTGGACCTTATTTATCAGATATAGTCAGGCGAAATCCAAGATCTCAAAAACCAAACATTCTCCGTTTCAATGCAGTTGTCAAAGTCTAGTAGATAAGGACATCGTTTCGTCTCATTGCGCGGCAGCAAACCCATCAGCCATAACACATGTCAAGATTCACCCAACGTATAGCATAACAGTGGAAAAAAAAAAGAAGAGCATCACAAAAGTAAAACCCCAAACCCTGAAACCCAAGCCAGCTCAGTCCCAATGGAACTTCCACAACCCATCACCCAGATAATGCCCCTCATCCATCACCACACCCTTCGGCTTGGCCTTCATCTCCTCCGTCCCCACCTTCAACGGCCCAACCAGACACACACTCTCCTTCCCCTCCGCCTTGACAGCAACCACCTGCCCTTTCTCCAGCGCATGCTCCGCATCAGGCAGTCGGCCACCAGGCGACGTCAGACCGGGCGCCATAAGCGCCGCACCGGATAACACGAACCGGATCGCGCCGCGGTCGATCTGTACCGTCGGCAGGGCATCCGGGTACGCGTGCAGCAGCTTCAGATGCGGAATCGGGGGCCCGTCCATGGGCTGGTAGAACAGCGGCGTCGATTCGATCGTGTAGAGCGTGGCTCGGTCCGGCCTGTAAACATTTTATAACCCCCGCCATTAGCATTGCCACTGTCTCCCCCTTGTTCAAAGCACATTGAGGCGGAAGGAGGGAGAAAAAAGAAAGAAAAAAAAAAAAGAGGGGGAAGGAGAATCGCACAGTTTCACCGCGTCGAGCTGTGCTTTCTTCGGCAGGATCTCATCGATGTACGGCTCGAAGCCGGGGTAGGTGTCGAGGAATTTCTGGCGCAGGCCGCGCTGCACCGAGGATTTGACTTTTGAGCGGCCGCTCGGGGGGATACTGTATTTCGATTCATTGCGTTAGCGCCTTTTTTCGGTTTTCTCTGTATGAAGCTGTCGAGTTTCTCTTCTTGTTTAGTAGCTTGTGGACTGTAAAGACAATTTCATCCCGCGGCGGGTTGGGCTGGGAGACTTTTTTTGCTGCGGCATGCAGGCGGATGGGATGCATTGTGTCCGCGCTTTCAGAAGATCGGGATCTGGAGTCAAGGGAACTCACTCTTTCTTGAACATTGTGATGACAGACCAAGCGATTGAGACAATGTGGTCCGGATAGCTGCGTGCTCCTGCAAGGATTCCTTCAACGGCCTCCGACAAACTGCGCAAATGGTATGACGCGGTCAACGCGGGGACGAGTTCTAGCTATCACGTGCTGATAAACGGATGGCCTCGTTTACAGGGCATCGGTCGGTCTATCGATGGATTCATCCGCCAGCTTGCACTCCGTGATATGGTCATACGGTTTTTCGGTTACTACAAGAGACATACTCTCGATACAGAGGACTCAGTGTGTTTCAAATTTTCATGATATTTCGGTGACTTCTACCGACTCGGGGGAATCACATATAAACCCAAGCAAGGCATCAGCCAATATAAGCTATATTCAAGTACGATTGATTGATCTAGCCCTTGGCAGCACCGGCCTTGATCAGGAGGATGTCACCATCCTCGACTACGTAGTCCTTACCCTTGGTCATGACCTTGCCGGCAGCCTTAACTGCAGGTTCATCACCAAGCTCACGCAGGGTAGCGTAGTTGTAGACAATAGCCTGGATAAAAGTCTTCTCGAAATCTGCGCGGGCAAATTAGCACTCTGTTTTCTCTCAAAACAAGAACAGAAAAGATGACATACCGGTGTGAATGACACCAGCGGCAGCGGGAGCCTTGATACCCTTGCGGATAGTCCACTGACGGACTTCGTCCGTACCGGTGGTGAAGAAACTGGCCAAGTTGAGCACCTGGCGCATGGTCACGATGACCTTGGGCAAAGCAGACTTGGTGTTCAGATTCTTGCACTCCTCAGCGGCCGCGGCATCATCGCCGAAAGCAGCCAAGCGCTCCTCGAAGCAGACGGAGATGGGGATCAAGGGATCACCAGTAGAGTTGGTCTTGATCCATTCGAAGACCTTGGGAAGATACTTGTTCTTCTGGCGAATGTAATCCTTCTCGCTCAGGTTGACGAGGTAGACAACAGGCTTAGCGGTGAGCAGGAAGAGAGGGTTGATAACCTCAACCTATTGTATCATCCAGTTAGTCTCCTGAATGCACAAGACCGGCAAGGACAAAACGTCAAATTGTGTGCACATAATCAGATAGGACATGATCTCATGGCAGCCTCTGCGTTGTATTTAATTGAGGCTGCTCGACGAGCTGGGTTATTCGAGCAATGCTCTTATTCATCATATGAAGCAAGGAAAAGGAAAGATAAAAAAGTAAAAAAATAAAAATAGATAAAACGTACCTCCTTGGGGGCCCATTCACCCTTGCGGACATCATGGCCGTCCTTCAGGAACTGAAGAACCTTGGCCACAGTGGCTTCCTCCTCCTTGAGCTTCTTCATCTCCAGAGACTGTCCACCGCGCCGTGTCTGCTTGTTCAAGTTCTCGAGCGCCTTCTCGACAAACTCGATATCCTTGATCCGCAACTCCTCGCTGATAATGTTCAGATCACGGACCGGATCGACATCACCCTCGACGTGGATGATCTCCGCATCGTCGAAGCAACGGACGACCTGGAAGATGGCATCGACGGCACGAATGTGAGACAAGAAAGCATTGCCCAGACCAGCGCCGGTGGAAGCGCCACGGGTCAGACCGGCGATATCATACACGGTCAAGTTGGCAGGAACCTGCGACTTGGGCTTGTAGTGTTCGCACAACCAGTCGAAACGCTCATCAGGAACGATGACACGGGCTTCTTCAGGGTCGATGGTGGCATAGGGGAAGTTGGCCGGGTTACCCAGCGACGACTTCGTGATAGCCTGGAAGAGCGTCGACTTGCCGACGTTGGCCAGACCAACCTAATCAAGGAGCATGGTTAGAGGATGATTGACTTTGTTATCTTCATCAAGATGCGTAGGACTACATGGTGTGTGTAGGAATGAGGACAAGAGAAAAGGGAAGATTTTTCTCGAGGGAGAAGTGTGATATAAATACCAAGGGAAGAAGGGGAGAAAAAAAAAAGGGAGGCTGGGCAAGAAATAGGGCAAAAAAAAAAAAAAAAAAAAAAAAAAAAAAGAGATAGTTCGGTGGGGTCAATGCTCACATACGATACCACTCTTCAGGTTGTTTCCTGGACGGCCCAGCAGGACCTTCTCCTGGACAACGGCCTTTTTGGGAGGCATCTTTTTCTTCTTCTTGCTGGAGTAGTTTCGGCGGCAGGGAGACGAAAAAGGAGAGAACCAGGAATAGGAGGAGTAAGAAGGCGAGGAATGGAGACGCGAGGTAAAAGCAGAACCAGCTGCGGATCGTTCGACACGGAGGGGTAGAGAAAGGAAGAGAAAGACGGAGGGCGGTGCGGGAGACGTGGTGAAGATTTGCCCACCGAAAGTGGGCAGGATGATGGTGATTGGGGGAGGAGGGCGAAGAGCTCAAGGGGGTACGTCAAGACTCAAGAGGGTATAGAAAAAACTTCGATGGGATGATGCAGATGCAGGATATGATGCAGTATCTGATGAACGACAACAACAATGGCTTCGTCTATCTCTTCTTTTCTCTTTTTTCTCTTCCGATCTCTGAGAGTTTGTCGTGCTGTTGACGCTGTTGATTCTTTTCTGCGCGTCCAGATTTTCTGCCTGGCGTTATCTCACCGCCCACATGACTGTCAAGAGCCCTGCTGGTTATTTTACAGTGTTATGGTATCTTTCATACCATATTATACGCCCGCGGTAATTCCCTCTTTGGGAAGATCAGAAAGGAGTATACACCTTGCCAGGTCACTAGGTTGCTAGGTCACTTTATCTAGTAATTATTAGTCCCCTACTAGTAGCTAATATTCTTCTTTTAGTAATAAGCTTATTAGGTAGTAAGTTTAAGATTACTAAGTTATTATTATTATTTTTTATTTTTTTAAATTATATATATAGTTCATATTAAGATTACTAAAAAAAAAAAAAAATTCTAATTTGTTATAATGGTAGTCGTAAAACCACAAAGGTGGTGATGGATTTTATTAATAATTAAAAGATGATTTATTTTACTATAGCTTCCACTATAGGGATATCTTATTATATTATATGACTCCTTACTATATATAGTAGTAGGACTATAATAATATCCCTATCACATATAAGGCAAAGCCTAACCATAATTTAATAGAAAAAAAAAAAAAAAAAAAAGGAAATATAACATTAGTCTAATAGAATAATTTGTAGGGGAATAGGGAAAGGTTAAATATATAGTAATCTAGTAGTAAGGTAGAATATAGTTAATTTAGAGATAGGGTCTAGATAATTAACTACTAAACTTATAATAACTAATATTAAGATTCTTTTATAATACACAGGATAGTTCCTATTTATTAAGTAGTATATTAAGATACTTATATTTATTTATAGAGTAGTTAAAATACTAGGCTTTAAGGTTAAGAAGTAATTACTTAATATATTAAATAAAGAAATATTTAATAATAAAGTCTAGTACTATTATAAGAAGAATATATAATATTATAATAAATTTATCTTAATAATATTTAGTAAAGTCCTCTTCTAGTACTTTAGTAAACTTAATATTATATTTAAATAAATTTATTTATCTCTATTCATCCTTAAATATAGTATTAATATTCTTCTTTAGAATTAGGTTAAAGACTATATAGTACCTATTAAATATTTAGGAAATATATTTAGCTATAATCTAACTTTTATAATATTTAATTACCTAAGTAATATACTATCTTAACCTAATATATAGAATATATATTATTATATAGGTAGGGGTTAGCAGCCTATAAATAATATCTATAATTTAGTATTATTATAAATATTATTATTATTTTTATTCTTAGTAAGGGCCTCTTCCTCTTATCTAATAATATAGATAGCCTTTTCTATCTTTAATAGGGCTATCTTAATTTTAGTAAGTTATATAGAAACCTAGATCTTAGTAAGGAGGTTATAAACTCTATATTATAATATAATTTAAAGGATATTATTAAGTCTATTTATATGTTATAAAAATAGAGACTTTAAATTATTCTATATTATCCTAAACTAATCTATAGTGGTAATATTAATATTAATAATCTAATATATAAAAAAATTAGGATATTAGATATAAGTTTATTGAACTAAAGAGAACTCCTAGTTATATCTATATATATAGTAGTATACTATCTCTAGAGTAAATCTATCTAACTTATATTTTATATTCTTCTTATATTCTTTAAGGAATTCTATAGCCCTATTAAGATTAAATAAATATTATATATAGGTATGGTTTAGGTAGATATACTTAGGCTTAATAAGATAGCTACTAAAGTTAATAAACTTATACTAAGGTTTAATTAGCTTTAGGTATAGGAAAATAGCTTTATATACTAAAAAAAAAGACTAAATATAGTATATAAGTAGCTTTAAATACTCTAATTATACTAATCTTTATAATAAATATATATATATCTCTCTAAGTTAGGGGCTTATTAGGGATATTAAATAGGATCTTAGTTAATAGTCTAGCTTTTATTAGGAGTCTCTTAGAGAGAAAGTATATAATATTTATTAACTTAATTAGATATTTAATTAATACTCTAATTTTATAGATTTTAGGCTTCTCTATATTATTTATAATAGACTTATTATCTTCTTAATTATCTAGCTTAATATTAGTATTAGCTTTAATATAACTATTATTAATATTATTAATTAATTTAGAGTATTAAAGTATTTTTTTTAATTTTTTTTACTAGTTTTTACTTTTACCTTATTCCTTGTTCTCTTTCTAGGTATTATATTCTTTGTATTAAGACTAGTATATTGTAAGACCGGTATAATATCTGATAGAAGATGGTAATAGGTCAGTGTGAAGGGATCATAAGGTTATATTACTATTAATAGGAGAACTAATTACTAGTCTATAGAATCTTCCTCTGCTAGTAAGGTTTTATACTAGGCTATTATATACTAAACTAGCCCTACTATTTACTAGGGTATGGCCTTAGTGCCTTACCTAGCTTATTTAATAGAATTATTCTCTAATATTATTTTTAATAATTATCTTCTCTCTTTATAGACTATAGTCCTTTAGTTAATTTTACTTAATATATAGTCTCTGATTCACTAGCTTACTAAATATAGATTAATTCTCTAGGTTCATTAATAGCTATATAACTTCTAATTAATTAATTTATCTTAGGGTAGCTGGTTCTATAGCTCCTTTATTAAGTATAAGGTTATGTTAATCCTATAATATTTTCTAATTAGTTATTATAGTAGAAGCTTATAAAGTTATAGATTTTCTATTATTCTAGTTATTTAAATAGCTTTATTATTACTAATTCTAGCTATTTAGCTTAGAGAGGTAGAGCTCTTAGTTAGTTTTCGTAATCTAATTAGCTAAGGGTCTATTAGTCTATAATATTTTATTATTACTTTATTATTCTCTATAGCTAAATAGGCTCTACTTATTAAGGGTATAGTTGAATTATATCATAAATATATATTATAATATATAAGGAGGTCTCACCCCCTATAGATTCTTTTATAATTATTTTAATTATCTTTATCTTTATCTTCTCCTATAAATTAGTATTAATTACTATTTTTTAATACTATTTTTTTACTTTATTTTATATCTTTAGTTAAGATGCCTACTAAGTATATTAATTTTCTTATTAAGATATATTAAGTACTACTAATTCTAATTAATTTAGCTAACTTTTAGGTATTTTCTCTATATAGAAACCCCTATCTTTATTATCTTTAGGCTAAAATCCATAACTCTAAGATTAGGTACTATAATTATTAGATAATATCTAGCTATAAATAAAAGGCTTATACTATATGCTTCTATACTAAGCAGAAGTATATTTATATATAGTATTTATTAATATCTTTTTATAGTATTTTTATTAGGTTTAATAGCTATATTAATATTATATAGGTCCTATAGATTCAAAAGTAGTAGATTATTACTACTCTCTAGGTCCTATAATCTTAATAATATTAGGCTCTTCTAGCTATAGTCTTAGATATCTAGACTATTATAGCTTATACTATAGAAGACTCTAACTCTAATATAGATTTTATTAATACCTCATCTATCCCTAATATTTCCTTATTCCTTATTATTATAGTTATAATACTAGCTTTATTAACTTCTTTTCTGTGAGATCACTAGGTCTCACATATAGAATATGACTAGTATGAAAGAATAGATACTGCATAGCTTGGATTTCAAGAATTCAGATACTTAATGTAAGGCCTCCTAATAGTATGGTATAAGAATGCTAGCTGGATTCTAACAGACCATAAGGCCAAAAGACCAACATTACTATGAGTTACTAGATAACTTATAGATCTAGACCTATATAGTAGCACACTAGATAGCTAAGGTATCTCTCTCTTAGAGATTCTTATAACTACCCTCCCCCTCTTAAGGCTTTGCCTTAAAGCCTATCTCTAGGGAGCAGGTCTTATACCTATTAGGCACCTCCAGCCCTCAGCTACAATAATATCTATATATCTAGCCCCTAGGGGCAGTCTTACAGCCACCATCTATTAGCTACCCTAAGTAATTAAATAAGATCCTAAGTCTATAAGGTCACATAGCCCTACTAAGCTAGAAAATCTATTCTAACCACTAGCTCTAAGAATTAATCCCTTAACCACCTGGTGACTAGTAACTTATAGTAAATTATAAGAATGCTAGCTAGATTCTAACAGACCATAAGGCTAAAAGACTAACATTACTATAAGTTACTAAATAACTCACAGATCCAGACCTATATAGTAGCGCACTAGGTAGCTAAGGCATCTCTCTCTTAGAGATCCTTACATATGGTGAAGATATCCATCTTGCCTATGTGAGGGTATCTCTTAGTCAGCCCTTACTAAGCAGCAGGTTAGGTAAATTCTCCCTTATAGAGGAAGAATCCTAACCTAGTATTAATCTACTTAATTATCTAAATTCTTAAAATCTAAGCTATATAGTATCTATTCTTTTATACTAGTTATATTCTATATATAAGACCTAGTGTTCTCATAATTTTAATACTTAATCTATTATAACTAGTCTATTAGAAAAGATAATAGCTAGTAGAGCAGGCTTATAAGCCCCTAAAGGATCATAGAATTAAAAGGATATCTCTTATAAAGTAGGAATTAATAAACCCTATAAAGAATCCTTA